GTATTAAAAATAAATTTTAAGGCAAAAATAATCTTAAAGATAAACTAATGTGGCCTAATGGTTCAAAATATATATATATATATATATGTGGCCTAAAAATCAAAAAACAATTTGGTAGCCTTAGGCAAATGCCTTTTTGGCAACACCATAAATACGGCACTGAATACATATATAAGATTTAAAAATATTTTCTCCGTTATTTTATAAGTGATGTTTCAATTTTCTAATTTTGTTCTTAAATAGATGATGTTTTCGATTTTCAATGCAAAATTAATTATTTTTTATTAGTTTTGATGATTTTTATTATGTAAATTGTTTTTTTATTGATTGATTAGATAATAAATAATGTTTTAGTTTAGAAATAAACAATAATTAAATGATTGTTTAATATGTGTTTATTTTCCTAAAACATCACTTATAAAAGAATGAAAGGAGTATACATATTAAGAAGGAGAGATTCTGATTTTGGTCGAGAATTTTGCGTAATGCCAACTTGATGCTGCCCAAGTTCCCAACCATGCATGTGCACTTATACCCATAGGATATATGCTGTTTCCACATTTTTATTTTAAAATATAGTACAGGATAAGATTTTAATACTATTAATCGGAAAGCTGGAGTAACCGAGTGCAGCGGAAATTTAATATAGTTTGACGATCATTTCCGTGAAGTTGGAAATTCCAGTCAGTTTTATCACCAGGTTATACGTCCCATTTGGTCTTTTCTTTATTTTTGTTGAAATTGCAATGATGGACTTAAGCATCTAAGACAAAATCATGATACAATAGTAATTTTGTTTGTGCAAATTATAAAAACTAAAATCTCCCATAACAAAGAAACAAGCTTGGCTTTTGTCATGGTCACCAAGAGGGACCCAAGATTCACCCATCAGCCAAATTTGACTCCCACGTAAGCACCACTAACCTTTCCATATGCCTCGGAGTTATAAACACTCTGTGACTTCACGCGCTCCGCTAATCCAAATTGGTCGTTCCTCCACCGGCTCAATCATTTCAAACCGGCTCGGCTCAGATTGCATCTAAAAGTAAAAATTCGAATTAATATGCAACAACTGCTTTATGACAATGAAATATGTTGTTTTTTTTTCTTACTGAGCCAAAGTCCAAACTAATTGTCAGAATCTACAAAAGAGGATGATATCTCTGTGATTAAAAACATTTAAAACCAACCATAGTTAAGTTGCAATGATAGGATTTGAATTATAAACTCTTGATTTTGTAATGAATTTCTCAACAACTAAACTATCCTGAGTTGGTTTGATATACATGTCTAATCAGTTGATATATATAGTAAATGATCATAACTTAAATATGAAACTTATTATTATACAAGATATACATTTTATGGTAGTGGATCATCATTGAGTAAACAAGTAATTTATGAGTGTGCTTTTAAACCTAGAGCTGGATAATTCAGGTCCCATGATAAATTGCTTGCAAATATTAAATGTGATTTTAGTCGCTTTCAGTTTAATGTTAGAGGTATAAGGAAGAAAAAGTAGACCACATATTTACCCGTCTAGATACTAGAAACTTAACCCATACATTATCTTCGAGTAGTCGCTTGCTTTTTTTCTCTCCATGTGACAGTGTGATTTAAATTGTAACAAGTTGGTCCATTTCTGATGAAGTGGATAACTAACCCATAAAAGGCGAAATTAAGTGATATTTAATACATAATATCTAAGGGAATTCATAAAGTATCTCGTTTGAACAATACTAGAAACTTGTGTATATATAATAATTCATAAAGTATCTCGTTTGAACAATACTAGAAACTTGTGTATATATAACTAAATAATTTTGGTACCTTTTATTTGTTTACGCCAACTCTATGTACTTCTCGTACCTTAAAGGATTGTTTCAGTTCTATGGAAAATTTGGTTATAAATAATCAATATTTCAGGAATCAACAACATTGGGGTGGTGGCGCAGTTGGCTAGCGCGTAGGTCTCATAGCTACTGAGTGATCCTGAGGTCGAGAGTTCGAGCCTCTCTCACCCCATAATTAATTTTAGCTTCATTGTTTTCATTTACTTGGGCTTTTGGGCCTCCTCCTGTTATCCAGAAGGCCTAACTTGGTTTGAGCTATTTCTCACTAATTTCCATGTCCATCACTGTTACAACACAGGTGATAATTGATAATACTTGCTCCGTATGTCATAAGATCTTATATAATTCCATCTTCTATTATAGAGATACGGATAACTACAACCATATTCATTGTAATCTAAATATACGATTCTATCATATCCTTTAGTTTTAGGATCTCTCTTGTATAAATATTGGCTCTTGTAAATCAATATAAACAACACTTTCCAATTTATTTCATGGTATCAGAGCCTTGATCCTATTCTTATGAGTTAAGGTTTTTGTTTGCTTCCGTTACTACTAAAAAAAAAAAAAAAAAAAAAGAAGAAAGGGACGTGATCCTCTCCTCTTGGTGGATTGTCATGTGTTTATCCCGGTCTTTGATTTTCTAGCAAAGTTGCTAGTTTCTTGAAGAACAATACACTTGATCATGAACATGAATCTAGTGGTTTCGTTCAATTTCGGTAACAATGATGTTTTTCTCGCCCTCGCGAGTTTGACATCTCCTTTTGATTAAATTTCTCGCCCTCGTGAGTTGTCCTTTTTTTCTTTTTTTAGTCTCGCCATCACGAGCTACATCTGAACCTCGCAATCACGCGAGCTACATCTTAACCTCGCAATCGCGAGTGTTATTTTCTATTACTTGAACCCTACGATCGGGTATAAACGTCGATGATGACCCGACGGCCGGGTATAAAAGCCGCTATTGCTGGTAATAATCTTTCGACCATTCAACGATTCAAGAATTACCTTAATCAATGTTTTCATATGAAGGATTTGGGCAAACTCAAATACTTCCTTGGGATTGAGGTTGCTCGGAACACGGAAGGCATATTTTTATCTCAACGTAAATATGCCTTGGATATCATTTCTGAAACTGGACTTCTTGGGTCGAAGCCATCATCAGTTCCTATCGCACTCAACCATAAACTACAGATTGCTACGGGTCCTCCTCTGACCAATCCGGAGGCTTATCGACGCTTGGTTGGACGCCTTATTTATCTTACTTTCACAAGGCCGGAACTCTGCTATACTGTCCACATTCTTTCGCAGTTTATGCAGGTTCCTCTTGAAGCTCATTGGGAGGCTGCTTTACGTACTGTTCGCTATCTCAAGGGATCTCCCGGTCAAGGAGTTCTACTTCGCGCCGATTATGATCTTTGTATTACCGCCTACTGCGACTCTGATTATAACTCTTGTCTTCTCACACGTCGCTCCTTGAGTGCTTACATTGTGTTACTTGGTTCATCTCCGATCTCTTGGAAGACTAAGAAACAAGAAGTGGTATCTATGTCCTCCGCCGAGGCCGAGTACCGCTCAATGGCATTTGCTCTTAAAGAGCTTAAATGGCTTAAGCAACTTCTTCTTTCTTTCGGTATACCTCATAATTCTCCAATGCGGTTATTTTGTGATAGTCAAGCGGCCATCTACATCGCCGCTAATCCCGTTTTTCATGAGCGAACAAAACATGTTGAATCAGATTGCCATTCTGTTCGGGATGCTGTTCAAGACAAGCTCATCACTACTGAACATCTTTCTACAACGGAACAGCCCGCTGACATTCTCACTAAAGCTCTACCCGCTCCAACATTTGCATATCTATTGTGCAAGTTGGAGATTCAAGATCTTTCACCGCCAACCTGAGGGGGGTATAGAGATACGGATAACTACAACCATATTCATTGTAATCTAAATATACGATTCTATCATATCCCTTAGTTTTAGGATCTCTCTTGTATAAATATTGGCTCTTGTAAATCAATACAAACAACACTTTCCAATTTATTTCATCTATCAACACAATTACTTATTATTTATTTTTTCTTATTATATCTTTATATATGAACTTAGAAACATTAACGTGAAAAGTGAAGCGGCTTTACCTGATTTTTTTGTAAATATAATCGACTTTTTTGGCTTCGACGCTTCGTCAAAACCACGAGGTCCATAGAACATGTTTTTATAAAAAAATGTTAATAAAAAATTGGTAAATCAATAAATGTTAAGGAAGGTTCATCGAATAAATAGTGTTTCCCGGATTAGAAAAATAACAAGAGGATCTACTTTGTAATCCGATCAGTCACTCATTCCCACGATCATGAACCGTAAAAACTTCTAGATTTCGTCTCCAATAACTTCATTTTCCCATAAATTTTGGTCGACCTTATTGACTACACTCTCACGTGCACACAAAATTGAAAGCATACGGCGCACCATTCTTCAAGAAACAAAACTGAAAATAATATACAGAAATCAAAAGTCACGTACTAATAAATTAAAAAGATGAGATAAAAAATGAATGCGCACGAGTGGGTTTTTTTTATTTACTTTTTTTGGTACGCGTTAGAAGCGAGTCCCGAGTCCACCGGCCAACGGTCACCGTCAGATGATACCTAACAAAGTGGGTTCCATAACATGTTGAGTGTTTGTTTAAATCACAACCGTCTATCGCTATCAAACCTCTTTCAATTTTGCGTTTCTTTTGTTGACCCTATTTCATCGTGAAATTGTTTGAACCAAATTTAAGTTTTTATTAGTGTCACGGCCTGTGACTTCTCTCACTTACATCACCCATTCTATATAATCTTCGTTAACTAACTTGCACATAAAATCTAGGGACATTTTTTTTGCTATAGAACAAAAATCTATGGACACCGGTTAGATTTTCTTTAATTGAATTTGGAAAAATGTTTTATATAATAATTAAAAAGCAAAAAAGAGCTGTAAATTTAATTCAAAAACAATTTAAATGTCAAAATAAAAAAATTTGTACATTTAAGATGATATCATAGTACAAAATAATAAAGATTTTTATCAATTAAGAAATTTTAAATAAAAAACTATAATTAGATGGCGACTATCAGTTGTTTAGATTTTTTTGCCCTCAGATATTTTCAGTATAAAGATAACAATCATTTTCTTAAGTTTGTCAAAAAAAAAAAAAAACAATCATTTTCTAAATTATGTTCCTTAATTGATCCAATCACTTAATAATTTTATTGACGTAAAAAGAAAAAAGAAAAACAATAATTAGACTCATTTTATAAGTGGTCCTTTACACGTCAGAGGTGCGTCTTCTACGAAAAGCCCTGTCAACATAGCGAAACCTTAATGACCTTTCTTTGGTTATACCGACGTTGAAGCACACGTGGCAATATTTCACACGTGCGCTTGCGTGTGTAATACATATATATCCCACACACACATAAACCTCTTTGAGAGTAATCAAAGCGAAAAAAAAGAAGAAAAATGGAATGCAGAAAGCACAACCACCAAAGCAACAGAGGAGTTTGTCCTTGTTGTTTAAGAGATAAACTCTCTCGATTACCTAATACTACGTCGTATTACATCATTCACCGATCTTCTTCTTCCTCCACCACCGTTTCGTCTTCTCCGTCGTCTCCGGCGGTGAAGGATCATCGGAGAGCTGGTTCGATGTCCATGTCTTTCGCTGTGAGGGAAGCGTTGAGTGGTAATCTGATTGAAGCTTTTGGTGGAGGATTGAAGAAAAGCAGATCTATGGCTCATGTTCCCAAGGATTATATTGTTAGGGATTCGACGAAGAAGAAGACGGAGAAATTGAAATCTACGTCGGTGAAGAAGAAGACTGGGTTTTGGACTAAGTTGCTTCATCTGAAAGGGAAAGGCGGTGGCGCCGTCGACGTCGGAGGGTTTGTTTCTTCACGGCAACGAGTTTATTAAACGACCAACTTTAGTTTTTTCCTGAAACGTTTATTTTTGATGTGTACAGTTACAGATAAAGAAAGTTAAATGGTGGAAAATAATGAAAGTCATTTCTGATTAATGAAAATAGAGATTAGTATTGGCCAAAAAAAGAATAATCTAGAAATTAGTTTTACTTTTTAATTTTTAATTTTTTGACCAAAGAAGCAAAAAGCTATGAGGGATTTGACCAACCAATCAGTGATTTTTGATCATATCATGAATTATATTTTATCATGATTCAACTAACGTGTTCTATGTGTGACTTGTCATATAAGACATCTATATATCTGTATCAGCATGAAATGAAATCCATCACGGATCTTAAAATGAGACGATAGCTTTATGTATATCATCATCATATAATATAGTCCAAAAGTATATAACATGTCACTAACAGTAAACATATAAAACCTACAACACAAAAAAATTGGACCCTTCAAACTCCCAAATTAGCTGTTTCTTGTAAAATTGTTTCTATACTATGGTGAACAGAACAAATCTGCTCTTTGCTTTGCTTTCTCTCACTCAGGTTTTGTTAAAATGCAGAGTTCTTTTTAATTTTCATCACCTATGAACATCATCTTCATAGTCAAACTTCATCATCATCATCGAGGTAGTGCCCGTGTTCTACAGACCGGTTTTTCAGTCTCTGGAATATCTCATCTAGCGACTGTGGCACTGATGAAGTCACTACTCTTGTGCTTGTTAGTGTTGTTGTTTCTGGGCTTTGTCTTAATGGAAGAAACTTCTTGGTAGCTACATTCTCTTTAAAATTCTGGATTCCTAGTTTCATGTTTCTCCATGTGGAAGCCAGACGAGAAGATGGCTCTCCTGATCCTTGACCATTACTTGGACCCGAATTGTCTGTTTCCAGTAAGGACACTTTAGCTGAAGACATGTTCTCTGGCTTTGTCATAGAAGATGGCGAGTGTTTGTTCTGTTGTTCTCTAATGGCTGCGTATTTGTTCGTGATTGCTTCTCTAGCTGATCCGTATTTACGGGACATATCGTCTTTTGATGAACTTCCTTTTACTGTGTCTATGTCATAGCTTGACGACATCTTCATTTCAACAGAAGAATTTTCCTACAAAAATCTTAGTCAGGCTTTGGAACAAACACTATGAGATCTGTTTCTATATGTTAATGGGTTACTACTTACAGAAAAATTGCTTCCTGGTTCAATGTCAACATCGTTGAAGTTCCTCGCTAGTGGAAGAACATGCTCGCCGACTTTTTGTCCTTCTTCGAGCCAGGTTCGTTCTAACGATTATAAAAAAAGGAAAATGAATTAAAAAACATGCGTTATCGATCAAATCTTAATGCAGAAAAAGATCCTTATGGTCTTTTTACCTTTTTTAAGAATCATTAACCCCGAAGGGTCAAATCCGTCCGTATCCTCGGTCTCTGTTTGAAATCTAAATCTTTTCCAGCTACCGAAGTAATTAAATATGCGATCAAAGAAATTGCTTGCAACTAGCAATGTGTAGATAACCATTATGAGAGGATAGATTTCATTGAACCGTTGTCCAAATACCGGGACAGCATCATCAATTCTACCCATTTTCTGCAGAACCAAATGAAAAACATCGCAAAGAAGCCCAGTTATGTCATATCTCTTAAAGACTTCTAAGACGACGAAATGCGCAAAGGGAGATATAAAAAAAATACCTTCTCAAATATAGTCTCGGAATGAAGTTGAATGAGATTAATAAAATTGTAAGATATTGGTGGCGCATATCGAGCAATCATCCTGAAGAGATACCATATGAACCATCTATAAGCATGTAAATTTTTATTAAAGAAAAAATGATGGATAGATATTCACTTACGAGCAAATCATTAGTAGATTCACAGAACTTGTTTGTCGAGGAGTCAAGGAATAAATCATCAGCATCCCAATTTTGAAAAGAGAATAATATGTACAGACGCACATATACACCAAAGGTACAAAAGCAAATGCCTGAAAGCAAAATGATCAAGATTCAAGAGGAAGTTACTGGTAAGTCGAAACAATTTGCTACTATAAGATAACAAGATGTCACACACCACTCCATTGAAGTGAGAATTGAATCAAAATGCAAAGTACACGTACCTGCACTAGCAGTTCATCGGATTTGACAGAGCTTATAAGTATTGAGAAGAGGGACAAGTCCAGTTTACTAAGAAGGAGAGTTGCCTCTGCTAAAAGAATTGCAGCAGACATAATCCCCATAACTACTGCCAACACCATCTGAATTTGTTTCTTCAATATACACCTCCACATAAATTCTGCCAATGGTAACAAGTACAAAAGTAATCAGGGATATGTTTTCATTCGTTCTTTTCAAAGTGGGTATAGTCATGAATTTTCCACTTCAGTTATCACATTCGGAGAGAGAATGAGTAAAAAGTATATAAATACTTTACCCAATGTATCGAGAAGATTTCCCATTTTCCCAGTTCGAGTGGCTCTGAAGCTTGAAATGTATTTCCTGAAATACGGTGCAACAAAGAGGCTTAAGGTGAAAGGTATCATTCAATTGTTTTAAGATAATAACAGAAGAGATAATCATATATTGTATGAGAGATAAAATGACCAAAAATCTGACCATCCAGTTGCATCACGGCGTTCATAATTCTTCATTGTGTCTTCAAGAACAAGGGCCTCCGTGACATAAGTTAGATACTCACTGCAAACAGCCATAGTGATGACACATTACTAGAGCTTTATAAATAATACAACAAACTTAGTCTATTAATGGAACGAGTTTCCTAACAAAGTATCATAAGAAGTTAAGATAGCGCCAATAGAAAGCTCTCTATACCTTTTATATCTATAATATTCATCCTTAGCATTTCGAAGGTGCCGCCTTAACGTTGCCATCGATTTCTCATCTGTGTCATAGTCCATATCATTTTCGCCCAATTGACCACCTTGTGGCTTAAATGATGGGTCTTCCCTGAACTGTATAGATAATCATTCATTAAAATTGGATAAGTTTCAATGCATGTTCACAATATAAGGATAGTGGGATGTAGAAGTTACCATTTTAGCCAGCATAGCATCTATAACATTCATGTATGGTCTCATAGGATCACGCTTGGACATTTGAGTTGAAGTCGCTTGAGCAACCTAGCAAGGGAATGGTTATGAAGTGGTAAACAGTATGACAAGAAAACAATGTGAAGTTATTTGAATTGCTAAAACTTTAAGGTACTTAATTACGTGATGTGAAGTTAATTTGGATACAAGCCTGCTAAATGGAATATCTCCCTAGATCTTAAATAGCACCACTGATTATGTCATGATCAAAGGTATAACTGAAGTTTGAAGAAGAGAGGGCATATCTAAGCAGATGAGAACAAAAACTTGTTTATCCCAGATAATACTTACTACAATCGCATTTGAAAGTTCTTGATGGGCATTGTCAAGTTTCACAGCAATTTTGGCAATTTTGTGCGAGAGAACTTTTTGGCGGGTGGTCCAATCTGCATTCTTCCAAAGGGTCTTAGGTATTTCGCTCAAGCCAAAGCCTAGAAGAAATGCACCAGTGACCAGCCCAAAAGTATTTGAACATGCCATAGCATAACCCAAAATGCTACCTTTCCTGTTAACATACAATACAAGGATGTCTCAGTCAAATAGTCCAGAAATGAATGTAACTTTCATCGGAGAAAAAAATTGAGAAAGATTGGGCACCAGATTTTCTAAACCCAGTCAGTCATATATTGGTAGATGGTGAGCAATTGTATCACGCATATTTTAATAGAAGAGCTAATGACAAGGTAGGAGATGCAAAGCCAATATATATGTATATCCGATCATGAAGGGACAACTTACCAGTTCCTGTGCATCATGACGAGAAGGATAAGACCGAGAAGACCAATGAATCCCAGTACTAGATAGAAAACTAAGTTGACATGGACGCTAGTCTTCAATCGCTCTGACACGGTAAAGTCTCCAGCATCTTCGAAACCCTGAATAAGGGGCACCACAGCCCTGTTTAGAGGTAACATAGTTTAATATATGAGGGAATGTACATTTATTAGCTACAAAACTATGGAGATGGATTGTTAGGGGTGCATTTCAAATACCGCCAACCAATACAAATTTACACCTACTTAGGTAATCATTTCAAAAATAATCTACCTAAAACTGGATTTGATCAAAAAGCGAACACATTATTCTGCAAATATCGGCGAAGACGTATCAAAGAAAAGGCACTGAAAAGTTTGAGCAGTTCATACCAGGTGAGTAGAAACGTACTCCAGTATGACCAACTCCATAAGAAGGAAATGGCACCATTCTCAGGATGATCAGGTTGCAGAGATAGTGTCTGCAGAACATAAGAAGACAAATGAAGCAAACCAATTTCAAATGATTCCCTAATCAGTTCTTCTAGTTTGGTCTACATCCAAATCAAACATGGAAACCAAAATCTAGCTACCACTGTTTCATCGCAAATTAAAGAAGTCCATATTTCGCAGTAAACCATGATACTTTCCCAAAAATATTCCTCAATAGCTCCAAACCGTGAGAGACCTAAGCAGTATTCAAACGCCACATTCTTCAGCTAAATCTCAATTCAACGTATGATCCTATGAAACTTGCAGGCATCAGAACAAAACCCTTCAATTATATAACCTACGATTCAAAATTTCAAATCAAGCAAGAGGACTTCTAAATGTCTACCATTAATTCATATGCAAAAATTGTAATCTCGTAAAGGCCAATTCGATCAAAATCGCACTGCTTACCGTCCAAATGTCGGCAGGAGCGAGGATGATAACGGAGACAGAGCAGAACCAGGTGTATCCAACGGTGATAAGAACGTACCGAGGAATCTCCGGTCCGGCGAAGTAACGGAGCGTGAAAACAACTAATCCTAGGGTTAGTGGCAACGAGATCAGATAGAAAACCCACATCTCTCTCTCGATGCAGAGAATCAATAGGTTATCGATTAACGCCGCCGAGAGATCGCTCGACTTGTCTCTGTGTGTATGTGCGCGTGAGAGAAACGCGCCGGTGAGAGGAAGGTCTCTCTCTTGTTTGTTGTTGCTTCTTCGTCTTTCAGTTTCGTTTTCTTGGTTCGATCTCGGTTCGGTTCATTGAAGAAGAAGAAGAAGCAGCTTTTTTCCACGCTCAATGCTTTTTAAAAAAAATAAATCAAAAAACGTAAATATTTAACGTAAAATATTTAAAACTTCGTTATTTGTTGAGAGTTGACAATTTGAGAGAGACTTTAAGAAGAATTAGTCTAATTCTTTGCATATATATATATATATAGTAAATAATTTCAACCATCAAATCTAGAATTAATATTTGTTTGCGTTATGAAGATGTAAGTCAATCCCACCAAAAAAAAATGAAGATGTAGGTAAAATTTAATCCATTAGTACACTGATAAATATGATTATTGGTTTTTATTTCCGATAAAATGTATTTTTATATCTTTTGTTTGATGAAAATGCATAATTCTTGCGCAGGCACGAAGTTTTTGAGGTCATGCTGCGCATTTCCGCAGGAAATTATGAAAAACTAAATGTTTTTCTTGTGTTTTTTTTTTTTATAAAGAATAATTCCATTATTGATTTAATTGAAGAAAATTAATTTCAACAAAGTTAGGCCTCTAGGAACTGGGCTGCACTTACAAAGCCTAATAAGTATATGGTATTGAACTATTGATGGTCAGGAACTGGGCCTGGTTACACCTACAAATATAATTTGATTAATTAACTAATGGGCCCGTATGATCTGTGTGAATTATATTAAAAAGAATATCGGTTGTTAGGTTTAATGTCCGAATTAAACATATGGGTTTAGGTGTTTAATTTAACAACACTTTAAATATCTGCGTGAAGAATTAAGAATATCATGATTCACGTTTCCAAACGTGTTTACAGGTCAGCAGCTAATCCACTGAGTGACTTATCTAACAAAATGTCTAATTCGTAATTGACAAGAATCACATTTATACGCGTTCCCACTTACCTATAAAAAAATATAACTAATTTATTAAAAACATTACAGATTCGATTTCGATTAGTAGTATGAGATTCTCAAATAATGTATAATTGTATATATAACGTCGACCGTTCGCTAATCTATCCGTCCATATCCAACGGTAGATTGATTCGTAAAATAATAGAGCCGACAAGATCATGACACGTTTAGGCTCTGTCTACCGGTTCACGTGTATCAGTGTCATCTCCTGCAACCAGCATCCCACTTTCAGCTTTTCCTTTTGTTTCTTGATACTTTAGTAACATCACATTTATTTTCCAAGATGCTTAGAGCATGATTATTAGTAGTATCTTAGAAATAAATCTTAGGAATATTTAAGTAATATATTTGTAAAAGTGATAGGTAAGAGATAGTATTTTTGAGTTAAGATTTTTGTGTGATTAATGGTAGGTTCTTAACATGTGATTCTTAGAAAAACAAATATTATTATAAAAATAAAATTTATAATTATAGAAAATTTAATAATAGTTGTAAATTAAAAAAATTAAAACATACATGAGATACAATTTATCAACATCTTTTTTTTGAAAACCTGTTACAGAAGAAAAAAATTCTGCTCTAAGGACATACAGAAAAAAAAAAATTTAAAACATATAGAAGAAAAAAATTCTCTTTTTGATTGTTTTTTGAACCTGTTACACAGTGACACGTATCAACATCTTAAGCTAACAAAAACATCCTAACTAAGATATAAATCTTAGATTAATTTTGTTAGTATAATTATTTTTAATCAATTTTAATCCTAAAATATCTCTAAGATATCACCGTTAATGCTGCTCTTAAGTCAATAATTTAAAGACTGGTAGGACCTACAGGCATATAGCCAAATGCACAAAATTACGAAAACACGTGTAGAACTACTATATAATCACACTGAAGTACCTAACAAAAAAAAAATTAACCACTGAAATTAATCCAAATAAATTACTACACTACTATTTACGTTTTTTTTATACCAAAACTAAAGTAAATGGTGGATTGAGCAACTTTTTAAACATTCACAAAACAATTATCTAAATAATATTTTTTTTAAACCATTACAGTAATTTAAATTGGGCTATGATATTAAATTATAGAGCTAAAATGATTAAATAGAAACATAAACTATATATATAGCGGCTGTTGTAAAACTTCAAAACTTCTTATATATTAAATATAACGCCCGTATTTGATTCTCTTCCTTCAAGATATCCAGAATTCAAGATCAAGAGTGAGAGAGAGAGAGAGTTATGTCGTCGTCGGCGGTCGAGTCTGTGGCTGAGCAGCGGATACGCAGCAACGATGGTGACGGCGCCGGAGAGAAAATAGAGAACGGCGAGCTTCATCACTTGCTTTCCGAACCGTCGGCTCCGACGATTTATCTCCCTACGGAATCTTTCCTCAGAGCAGCGACGTTACTCAAGAACCAGGTGCGTACGATAACTACGCGACGTCCCAGACGGCTAACGTAAGCCAGAGTTCGTACGTTGGCTGGCTCATATATGATTCTTGGTCGATGTATGTAGGTTGTGGAGGCCATGTGGAAAGGCGTTGTCGACGTTCTTGCCCCTGGTTCGAGTCCGGTGCTGGATCCGACTGTGTACACAGGACTACTCGGCACAGCGTTCACCTGCTTGAAGTCGTACGAGGTCACGAGGAACCATCAAGATCTGCTAACTTGCGCTGAGATAATCGACACGTGTGCCAACGTTGCGCGTGCCACAACCAGGTGAAAATATCTTCGCCACCAAGTTCCTTAGCCAAGTAAACATCATCTTCGAAACAAAACAAATATGTAATCTCACGACTTTGAAGAATATTCTGGAAATAAAATTTGAATGATTCCTCTGATAGAAAACACACAGAGTAGCATTACAAAAATGTCACTTTTAAACCAATTATTGAGTATAACACTATTACTATACGATGAAAATTATGTAAATTTGCAATTTATGGAATAATATCTACACACACATTAGAATAAACTTGTCTTTTTCTTGCTAATTATTTGATTTGTTATGCTCATGAATAGGCACGTGACGTTTTTATGTGGAAGAGGAGGAGTTTATACGCTTGGTGCAATCGTAGCCAATTACAGAGGGGACCAATCAAAGCGTGACTTCTTCCTCGGTCTTTTTCTTGAGGTTCCTATCTTTTTGACTTCTTACTCTTTCACATTTCGTTTGCTTTCACCAGTTTCAGATCAAAGCTATAGATTCACAATTTCGATCCAACGTGACAATTAGATCAACAAATTAAGTGACAAACTTAATATCTAAATCTGAGTTCAGATTTGTTTCAGTCCAAGAAAGATGATACTAATATATGAAACCGTTTATAGTGAACTTGAAAATTTGTTTCTTCTTCTTACAAGCAGCTTGCAGAAGCGAGAGAGTTACCAGCAGGACCAGAGGAAGGAGGATTTGGGATGTCATATGACCTTCTCTATGGAAGAGCGGGTTTCCTTTGGGCTGCTTTGTTCCTGAACCGATATCTCGGCCAAGGCACTGTTCCTGACCATCTCTTATCACCCATTGTTGCGGCCATCTTAGCCGGTGGACGAGTTGGAGCTGCAGATCATGAAGCTTGTCCTCTGCTATACAGGTTTCACAATATAGCTAGTGTGTTAAAAGAGAATCCTGTTTATACTCTTAGTAGGAATTTATCTTATTTTTGTGGGTTTTAGGTTTCACGGGACGCGATTTTGGGGTGCGGCTAATGGATTAGCTGGAATCTTGTATGTATTGCTGCATTTTCCACTATCGGAAGAGGATGTGAAGGATGTTCAAGGGACATTGAGGTACATGATGAGTAATAGGTTTCCGAACAGTGGAAACTACCCGTGCAGCGAAGGGAATCCGAGAGATAAGCTGGTCCAATGGGCTCATGGAGCTACTGGTATGGCCATTACTTTGGCTAAAGCATCTCAGGTGTTTCCCAAGGAAAGGGATTTCCGCGAAGCAGCCATTGAAGCAGGAGAAGTAGTGTGGAAGAGTGGCTTGGTGAAGAAGGTAGGTTTAGCTGATGGAGTTGCTGGTAACGCCTATGCCTTCTTATCGCTTTATCGGTTAACTGGAGATGTTTTATACGAAGAGAGAGCAAAAGCGTTTGCGAGTTACTTGTGCCATGATGCAAGAGATCTCATGAATATGACAAGGCAAGAAGCAGAACATGATTATTCGCTTTTCCGTGGACTAGCTGGACCAGTATGTCTCTGGTTCGATCTTGTGTCGCCGGTAGATTCTAGGTTTCCTGGTTATGAGATATAATTATTACCGGGTAAGTTAGATAAACTGTTGCTTCGATTATGAATATCTTTGTGAAAGGATCTTAGGTTCTCCAGTTTATTATATTCCACTTTCTATAATCTATTGAATTAGCTTTGAGATTTGGGAGAAACATTCATACAAAACAAGAAACAAAGTAACAAGTAAACATCAGCTTGATGGTTTTAAACGGAGTTGGTATCACTAAGACAACGCAGAATGCAACCGAGACCAGCTCTCTCTATTAGTTTCTCGTGAATTATCAAACATTGTTCGCATGTGGGTTCGTTCCCAGTCGAAAGACCTCTATACAAGTACCTGAATCACAACAACATTCAAGCAAACAAAAGAGATTAACACTTGACTTCCTCATCAAGCCAACTAAAGCTAACAGAGCAAAATATAAAAGGCAAGAGACTTACTTCATGAGAATGTCGTAATACTCGGCAGCAAGAGAATTTAGCATTCCGTCGATATCCTTTATCGCCATGATAGCTCTGTGCACAACTATCCAATTAGCCGACTGCAATTTCACCGACATTTATCATAAAAGACAACATCTTTTTGATCAGGAACAAATCACTAGTGTGGCAGAGGAAACAGAAAGACCTTGCAACGTTCATCATAAGTTGTCAAAGGCGAACCATCAAGAGCTGTTTTCAGAGCTTCGACATGTTTGTAGCTGAATAAAACGAAGTAACACTATTATAGTATTATATATATATAGGCCATCTAAGAAAGTTAGAAAAAAGGAACTTTAGGGTTATACTGTTTGAGTAAGCTTTCAATCTTCTGCGATTTGGTTTCGATCCTTGCCATTATTTCATTTGCATTATCAGCTTCAACAAGTGCTGCTGCACCAGCCATTGGATCTCTTTCTATTTCTCTACACTCTCCGGCAAAATTATCTTAAACCTAATCAATTCATTTCATTTATTCATTCAAATCGAAAACTTGCTGCATAAGGAAACATAGAGGATATGAATTACTAATGAAAGGAGGCAATGCAAAACAAATTAAGCCTATAAAAATCCAAAAAGAGAAGTAACAATCACGAAAACTCAATTCTAATCACGTAAAAAATCATTGCCGATGGTACACATGATGCGATCAGATCAATAATTCAGAAATGTTAGGATCAAATCATACAAGAATCTACCAGGATTCGAAGATTACTTGAGATTAGAGAGAATAAAGCAATCGAGTGATAAAACGACCGAGAGAGAATTTCTCAACGCTATTTTTTTTTTTTTTTTTTTTTTTTTTTTTTTTTTTTCACTTTGACGTAACAAGAGAAATGGATAAGTTGTTATCGCTGGTATATATTTGTATTTAATAAAAATGTAACAAATGCAAGTTCTTTGTGATTGCAAATACTGTTAGAAATGTATAGAGGATAAAAACATGTTAATCAAACTAATATCCAATAGATCAGATTTAAATCGGTTTGTTTTGCTGGGATTCAATAGCCCAAAACCCCACAAAAACTGCTCATTAAGCAACAAATGAATCACACAGCTCTGGATAGGAGAAATATCCCAACCAGAGTCTTTAAAATATCTATATATTGTTATCAAGTAACATTTAAGAATTGAATTGGTTATCTAAGAGTTACAACACATGTTACTCTTGTTTGGTATCACTTGACCAGGACCTGGAACAATATCAATCTTCTTACCAGCAAGCGACCCGGGATTACCGTTCTCTTGATCTTCACTCGCGGCAAGACTTTTCTTGTTCACAATGTTGAAGATCTCACTCAAAACCGTGGAGAAAGCGCTCTCAACATTGGTTGCGTTAAATGCAGATGTCTCCAAGAAGAATAAACCTTCTTTCTCTGCAAATTCTCTAGCATCTTCGGTCGGTATAGCTCGTTGATCAACAAGATCTGACTTGTTCCCAATAAGGATGATCACAATGTTCTTGTCTGCATGAGCACGCAATTCTTCTAGCCATCTTGGTATATGGTCAAAGGTTTGGCGTCTGGTTATGTCATACACCAACATCGCCCCAACCGCTCCTCGGTAATATGCACTCGTTACCGCTCTGTATCTGTTTGAACCAAAACCACACATATAGAAAGAGATACAATGTAAGCATATGATAAGCACTTAGCTTAAAGATTAAGCAGTCAATTATAAATTTGATGAAATCTATAAAAGAAGTTTCCAAATTTGTACCAACCATAAAACTATGGAAGCTTTGTAACATTGGAACTTGGAAGAGTAATAGAGTCTAGTCTATACATAATTTTGAAATCCAAATCCCAGAATCTCAATAATTCAGCTTCCTAATGTCTACCACTTTACTTCAGATCATCCCAATTTCGTAGACAGATCAATAAGCTTTACCACAATTCGAAATCCAAAGCAGAGCTATCATCTTCCAGATCCAGAGAAACAATAACGAGATCTAAGTTCAAGCAATTGAAGAAGCTAAAAGCCTAAAAGTTCCGGGAGAGGTCGGAGATTACCGTTCTTGGCCGGCGGTATCCCAGATCTGAGCCTTAACACTCTTGTGATCAATAACAAGCGTCCGAGTCTGAAACTCAACGCCGATGGTGGCCTTAGAATCCAAACTAAACTCGTCTCTCGCATAACGAGCCAGTATCTGCGATTTCCCAACCGCTGAATCGCCGATCAACACCACTTTGAACACATAATCAATCTTCTGCGACGGATCTCCGTATCCTCCTCCACTAGTCATCTTCTTCAACCTCTCTCTCTCGCTAAATCCTCTCTAGCTAAATCCTGTGTTTCAAGCTTTTACCGAAAAGTGAGCTTTTTTTGAAGTTTTAAACGCAAAGAGATCTGATACGGTCGTATTGTCGTCGTTGTCAACTATTAGTCAATACTTTTTAATTAATGATGACGTGTCTATATATTAACCGTTGGATTTCTGCCGGCTCTGTGAGATTTGACAGATACGACAATTATCTTTCTGTCAGGCGCATGTTTTTGGTGATGATGTCATCGTCGAATGTTAAAGCCTCTTACAATTGGGCCTTAGGCCCATTAGTTTATAAAAAAATGGCCTGGATTCGTTTGATTACGTGTCGCTATCCGAATTGACAAAAAGTGACCTAAGCGTTTTTATCAGAAAAAAACAAAGCAAACGTCGCGACGCAGAGAGAGAGCGACGATGGAGGAAGAGGAGCATGAGGTTTACGGTGGAGAAATTCCCGACGTCGGCGAGATGGATGGAGATATGGAGGCTCTCAATCCCGATTTGGATATGGCTGCCGCCGATGATGATGCGGTTAAGGTCCGCTACTCTCTCTCTCTCTTTCTCTCTTACTGTTTCGTTCATCTTAATGTGATTGATGCTCGATTGATTTTGTTATCACGTGTATATATGTTTGATTGGTGTTGTAATCGATACTAGGAGTTGGATGAGATGAAGAAACGATTGAAGGAGATGGAGGATGAAGCTGCTGCTCTGCGTGAGATGCAGGCTAAGGTCGAGAAGGAAATGGGAGCCCAAGGTTTTCGTCTCTTTGATTTCAATAACCATCGTACTTCCCGTAATTCGCTGGGTTTGGTTACTTGGTGTTTGGATCTATCTCTTTGAATTCCGAGAGCTGTGAATTAAGTTATGTGTTTGCAGTTGTTTTGTTTCTTGACTAAAGTTTTTTTGGTCCAATTATGCTATTCCAGATCCTGCTAGTATTGCAGCAAATCAAGCAGGCAAGGAGGAGGTTGATGCTCGATCAGTTTTTGTTGGCAATGTAAGAATCCTTTGTTTCTGCGTCTTATTCGTTCTTTAAACTATCGTAGCTTCTGCTTTATTTTCATAGTTTTTAACTCTGATTGATCTTAATGTTCATTGGACTAGACTTTGAATTGTGCCTTTTCTTTTAGCTCTTATTGATACAAAACCTTTTAATCTAGGATGTTAGAATTATTATAGTAGACCTGTGAAATGTATAACCTGATTATGTTATCTTCCTGATCCATGATTGCGTTCTCTACATGTAGTGCTTGAATATGTCACTAGTTAACTGTGACTTTTGGTGTAATGTCATAACTTTGTTGATATGGCTTCTACTGGATGTATGTTCAGTGGCAACACTTATTAGACGAAAATGTTGAATGGTAAAAGGTTGTGAATGTGATTAGAGTGAAGACTATATCTTCAAATGAAAAGGGAGTTTTGTTGTTAGTGATATTGAGGGTTTTAAAAAGTAGATTGAGTCTTCATATTACTGATGGAACCTGAGCCTTCAGATATTAAAGAAAACTTCATATGTTTAGTAATTTTTCTGTTCAAATTTGAGGATGTCTATAGTTTTTGTATTTTGTCGTTGAGTTTTGCTTTTCTTATGATTTTTCTCACTACAATCGCAGGATTGTTCCTGAAGTTCTTATTTGCTCTGGGTTAAATCAATTAGGTTTTGTGGGGTCGTTTACATTTTCCTTTTATAGTGTTGAAAAAGATCTGTTCTGTTTTGTTGTGGAACATGATGAAAAAGCTATAAAATAAAAGATGCAAAAAACAATAGAAAAAAGCTAAAAAAAAAGAGAATAAAGAAAAAGAAATGAATACGTCTTAGAGCAATATAGAAAAGAAAAAATGTCATGACTAAGAGGGAAAAAAAGAGATATCTGGAGAGGGGAAATGTTTGAAGGGAGTATTTCGCAATTCATCCTCGAGGAGATAGCCTTTGAAGAGCTGTATCAAGATGCTGGATAAGGCTCATAGCTGCTATCTGCAGAGATTTGGTGAGAGGCAGCTGTTTGATGCTTACATAAAAATAAAGCTTAGCATAAAGTTTATGCTCGGTACTCAGCGTAAGGGATCTTTTCAACTTAAAGGCTGCTCAAGTATACTAGATTCCACTCTGCTTTACTTGTTGTTCTTGCACATATGAATATGTTGGTGTGTATAATGAAGGATAGTAAAAGAGTAATGTCTTTGCTAGGTTTTCTTGTTTCGCTGAACTTGTAAATTTGATGGATTACTCTTTGTGTGCTCAGTGAAAGACTCCATGTGTTATGCTAGTTTGTTATATGCTATAACTGTATATTTCACTGTGCAGGTTGATTACGCTTGCACACCTGAAGAAGTTCAGCAGCATTTCCAAACATGCGGCACTGTCCATCGGGTGACCATTCTAACAGACAAATTTGGGCAGCCAAAGGGATTTGCTTATGTAGAATTTGTTGAAGTTGAAGCTGTACAAGAGGCTCTACAACTGAATGAATCAGAGCTACATGGTCGTCAATTAAAGGTACACATCTTACTACACCATCAAACCAAAACACTTTTACCAAGGAAAAAAACCTTATGATTTCATCGTTTTCTCTGGCTTAAAATAATTTCAGGTCTTGCAGAAGAGAACAAACGTTCCTGGATTGAAACAGTTTCGTGGTAGACGATTCAACCCATACATGGGTTACCGGTTCCGCAGACCTTTCATGCCTCCTTACATGTATTCCCCATATGGATATGGGTAAGTTGGTCTTAACATCAAGACATATTGATTAGTGTCACACACAGCTCTCTCCACTTCTCACATTTTTTTTTTTTGTCAATCTTTTGCAGAAAAGCTCCTAGGTTCAGAAGGCCTATGCGTTACATGCCGTACCAATAAAACCGTCATGGTTAAGCATAGAGCGGATTCGCTATCCAGTGTGGATGCGTGTATGGGCTATACCCATCCTTCATTGAGCTTTCTTTATGACTCTTTCGCCTTTAAGAACTTTGCGCGTAAACTTTTTCGAACCTAGACTGGTATTATATGATATGATGATCAAGTGTTGCTTATATAATGGGGACTGTTGGTTTATAGCTGAAATCTGTTAAATGTAAGTGTTGACTCTTTTAAACCACTGAGCAAATCAATTCCAAATAGGCAAATATGTTCGGCGCATTTTAAACTTTTATTGGTGAGGCTTTGCTAATCGCTACCATGCGCCTTGTTCTCTTTTGATGAGGACGTCAAGGTCGTAGCCATTACTTGCAATGACCTGAGTTTTTCTCAGTCACTAGTCACAGACCCGAAAAGACAATAATGTCCTTGTCGCTTCCTTCTCAATACGCTCTCTTCTCTGGCTCGACTCCTGTTCGCATCAGCAGGAGCAACCTCTGCTTCGCAGTCTCCGCCGCACGAACTTCTCGCCGGGATTCTATATCATTCCCTCAGCCTATCCTCCTCCGCCACGTCATCTCTACCCGGTCGAATTTCGAGATCGATCGAGATTATAGAGCTCATGCGTCTTCTATCGGATCATACGAGGATAGCTCTTCTTCTAACGAACTAGAAGACGCCAATTCCGATGGTTTCGATTTGGGCAGCTTTGTTTCTTTCGCGGAAGCGCTTTGTATTTTATCTTCCGCCGTGATTTCAGTGGTTCTCGCGGTGAATTACGTGGTGGTTGGTGAAATTGGGAAAAAGGTCTTGTCTTTAGGTTTCGTTGGATTGGTTGGTTCAGTCGCCACTGGTTCGTGGCTTAGACGACGGCAATGGATGAGGATTTGCAAAGGAGCGAGAGAAAGTGAGGGCACTAATCTAATTCGAAGGTTGGAGAAACTTGAAAAGGATTTAAAAAGCTCGACTTCTATTGTTAGAGTTCTTTCTAGGCATCTAGAGAAGCTGGGAATTCGGTTTCGGGTCACCCGAAAAGCTCTAAAGGAACCCATTTCTGAGGTAACGATCCGATTGTTCTCTTTCTCGAGCTTTGCTTCAAATGATTTCACTGTATAAGTCCCATTCTTTATGTAAAATTGGATGAAAGAAACAAGTGGTGATTGGGGAATGTCTGAGGAAGTAGCAAAGTTATGGACTTCTGGTGTTTAAATCAAGTTTTTAGAGATTTAGGAAAATCTTGCAGAAAAAATTCGGAAATTTCAGTTCACAGTTTCTGACTGGTCAATGTAGCTTGTCTTTGCATCAAGTTTAGTTATTTTGTGCTCTATGTTGTATCTGAAGAGTTTGGTTTGTTTTGTCCAAAGACTGCAGCTTTGGCTCAAAAGAACTCTGAGGCCACCAGAGTGTTAGCTGCACAACAAGAGATTCTAGAGAAGGAGCTTGGCGAAATTCAAAAGGTGCTGCTTGCTATGCAGGTATTTGTTTGTTTCCCTTTTTGTTAAATCAATGTGTTTCTTCTAAGATACTGCCATGCGATAAAGTGTGCCCTACCTGAATTGAAAATATCGATTCTGAGTTTCCTACTTTTCGTTTGAGCTCATGAAAAGCTCGTTGCTTGCCTTGCAGGACCAACAGCGAAAGCAACTTGAGCTAATCCTTACAATAGCAAAGAGCAGCAAGCTGTTTGAGAGCAGTAGTAGCAAGCAGCAAGTGCCTAATGAACAACGGAAAGATAAAGCAGAGGAACCCTCAACACCCAAACAGATACTCGTTCAATAAACCAGACATAATGCAAAACACACGAGACAATGTGTAAGTTTTTGTCTGGACAACAAGACATGAAGAGAGCGAAAACACTGAATTTGGAGAAGTCACTGTGGTTACGTAGCTGTAATTGTCATCATTGTTTTGGGTTTGTAATTTTCACTTGTATCGAATTAAAGTTTTTCCTTCTAATAAGAAAGTTCTCGAATCTTGATGATGATTTTAAAAGTATCAGACAATTCGTCGATTACAAGTAACGATTATCATATAGATCAAAACTGGGGATATTAAAGAAACAGAGAAAAAATCTCAAAGGGGGTGGTGGCGCAGTTGGCTAGCGCGTAGGTCTCATAGCTACTGAGTGATCCTGAGGTCGAGAGTTCGAGCCTCTCTCACCCCAAAATTATTGTTTTATTCTATTTTCTTAATTTCTTTGTTTATCACATTCAAAGCATCATGATTAATTATTTATTTAAATCACGCACGAAAAGCAGGTTTACGACCAATGTCGGCTTTTTAAATCTCTCTTTGACTAGACACAACGACTGTCATAATTGCGATTTGTTTGAAAAAGACTTTTTCATCTAACAGACAACAAATGTAACGAAGAAAGAAAATCAAAAGTTTGGTTTTTCTTTCTAAAGGACAGAGTTTTACTTTCTCTTCCAAGAGTTTTCATTAGGAAGTGGAACCATCCAAGTTTGAGAGTATTGTTGGTTTTATTCGCCGAGTGAATCTTTCGAGCTGGAATTATTCTTTTTGGATTTTCTTCTCTGCTTCTAGTTTTTTTTTTTTTTTTTCTTTTTGGGACCCTTCTCTTTCTTTTGTTGTCCCCAAATCTGAGTTTCTCAAATTTTACGTCTTGAGATTTGGGTTTTTATCTCTGTTTTTCCGCGAAAACTGCCGAATTCTCTGATATATTTGGAGTTTATCTTCTGGGTAACTGAAAAGGTTCGTTTTTTTTTTCTTTTTAATTATAGAATTATGAATTCCCGTTTGAGTTTAGAAAGTCTCTGATTCCTATTAGATCCACTCTATCTACCTTCAAAGCTTAAAAAGTTACCTTTGTTTCAAACGTTTCTTGTAGATGTCACAAGTTGTCAGAGAATCCAACATTTTGATATTTGCTAGCTCTTAGAAAAAATGGCTCTGCTTATCATCACTACATTGGTGTTTACATGTTTATGGTCATCTGTGTCACCAGATGACCAAGGTAATCTCATTCACCTTCAGAATTCTCTTTGGTAGTTTCTGAGTTTGTCCAAGTAAAGATTTTTGTTAAAACTCTTGCAATTTCGTTTTCAGGGGATGCACTATTTGCGTTAAGGAGCTCGTTACGTGCATCTCCTGAACAGCTTAGTGATTGGAACCAGAATCAAGTCGATCCTTGTACTTGGTCTCAAGTTATTTGTGATGACAAGAAACATGTTACTTCTATGTAAGTTTGATTAACACACTTATTAGCAAGATTTGGTCAAAAAACTCTGCTTTGTTATGGGTTTTAGAGAAGAAACATTTATGCTATATGGTTGTGATTTGCAGAACTTTGTCATACATGAACTTCTCCTCGGGAACCTTGTCTTCAGGAATAGGAATCTTGACAACTCTCAAGACTCTGTAAGTACCTGCTGCTTAGGAACTGTGATCTTGTGGATAGTCAACTTCTCTTTTCTGCATTTACTATGTGGAACATACTGTTACGTGTGTTATGTTAAATGAGAATTTTTTGTTTCATTTTTTGCTTGTATGTAGTACATTGAAGGGAAATGGAATTACTGGTGGAATACCAGAATCCATTGGAAATTTGTCTAGCTTGACTAGCTTAGATTTGGAGGATAATCGGTTAACTGGTCGCATACCATCCACTCTTGGTAATCTTAAGAATCTCCAGTTCTTGTAAGTAAATTCTATTCCCCAAGTGTCTTTGAACTTATTTGAGATCTCTGGGACAAAGAATGAAGATCATATCTTTGTTTCTCTGTTTGGCCAAGCAGGACCTTGAGTAGGAATAACCTTAATGGTACTATCCCTGATTCACTTACGGGTATATCAAAACTGATAAATATGTAAGTGGTAGTTCTTTTCTCCATTTGTTGGAAAACACTCTTAAGTGTCTCAAATGCTGCTGCTTGAACTACTTTTGCAGTCTGCTCGACTCAAATAATCTTAGTGGTGAGATCCCTCAGAGTTTATTCAAAATTCCAAAATACAAGTACGTAAGAGTTCTTCCGGGTTCAAACTCAAATACTTAATAGTCTTAATTTATCTTTACCACTAAGTTTTGTCTTTCAAATCTATAGTTTCACAGCAAACAACTTGAGTTGTGGTGGCACTAACCCTCAACCTTGTGTAACTGTGTCCAATCCTTCAGGTAAAGTGACAATAGTTTGCTGTTGCCCACTTCCATATGCAGAGATTCTAAGTATGGAGAGGTTTTTTTTTTTTTTTTTGTGTGGCTCTGATAGGTGATTCAAGCAGTAGAAAAACTGGAATTATCGCTGGAGTTGTTAGCGGAGTCGCAGTTATTCTCCTTGGATTCTTCTTCTTTTTCCTCTGCAAGGATAAGCATAAAGGATATAAACGCGACTTGTTTGTGGATGTTGCAGGTCTGTGACAATAATCAATCTTCCATGTTTATGTTTACATAGGAACTATAAAAAGGTTTAAAATTTTTAGTTTTCATTGCAAACTTTGGTTTCAGGTGAAGTGGACAGAAGGATTGCGTTTGGACAGTTGAGAAGATTTGCATGGAGAGAGCTTCAATTGGCTACAGATGAGTTCAGCGAAAAGAATGTTCTTGGACAAGGAGGCTTTGGGAAAGTTTACAAAGGAGTGCTTTCGGATGGCACGAAAGTCGCTGTGAAAAGATTGACTGATTTTGAGCGTCCAGGAGGAGATGAAGCTTTCCAGAGAGAAGTTGAGATGATAAGTGTAGCTGTTCATAGGAATCTGCTTCGCCTTATCGGCTTTTGTACAACACAAACCGAACGCCTTTTGGTGTATCCTTTCATGCAGAATCTAAGTGTTGCATACTGCTTAAGAGGTAAAAAGGAAACATAAGCTATACACTTTTGGTTTCAGGAGTTTAAGATTTTGTAATCGATACTATGCAGAGATTAAACCCGGCGATCCAATTCTGGATTGGTTCAGGAGGAAACAGATTGCGTTAGGCGCAGCACGAGGACTCGAATATCTTCATGAACATTGCAACCCGAAGATCATACACCGAGATGTGAAAGCTGCAAATGTGTTACTAGATGAAGACTTTGAAGCAGTGGTTGGTGATTTTGGTTTAGCCAAGTTGGTAGATGTTAGAAGGACTAATGTGACCACTCAGGTCCGCGGAACAATGGGTCACATTGCACCTGAATGTATATCCACAGGGAAATCATCAGAGAAAACTGACGTTTTCGGGTACGGAATTATGCTTCTGGAGCTTGTAACCGGACAAAGAGCAATTGATTTCTCGCGGTTAGAGGAAGAAGATGATGTCTTATTGCTAGACCATGTAAGTAATGTTAAAATCTGTGATCTTTTTTGCTGTTTCTTCTCAAGCTTCTCATATTGTAAAACTGGTTTTCAGGTGAAGAAACTGGAAAGAGAGAAGAGATTAGGAGACATTGTAGATAAGAAGCTTGATGAGGATTATATAAAGGAAGAAGTTGAAATGATGATACAAGTAGCTCTGCTATGCACACAAGCAGCACCGGAAGAACGACCAGCGATGTCGGAAGTTGTAAGAATGCTTGAAGGAGAAGGGCTTGCAGAGAGATGGGAAGAATGGCAGAACCTTGAAGTGACGAGACAAGAAGAGTTTCAGAGGTTGCAGAGGAGATTTGATTGGGGTGAAGATTCCATGAATAATCAAGATGCCATTGAATTATCTGGTGGAAGATAGAAACAGAAACTTGGATTCAAACACACTGTAAAGTAGAAGAAGGAACAACTAGTTTTGGTTTCAAACATGAATGAAGTTTTGGTTTCTAATTTTATATGTATCGGCGAATGAATCACACGGCGTTATGTTCACTTGTGTATTTATGTTGTAACGTTTTTGATACAATATGTTTGAAACTTTGTGTTAAAATAAATCCCATCAAAAGAAAGAAAAGGAAATAGAGATCACAATTTCCTTTTTCTTTGTATTAAAAAAAGGAAACATAACTGCCTCCAACGGCTATATCGTAATCTCTGTTGTGTATATATATAAGATTGATCAATACCCTAATTTACACTTTGCTTCTAAATAAAAAAGCTCTCACGCAGTTGCTTCTATTTCTTCCTTGAGAGAGAAAAATCAGAACTCTCTAATTCTCGATTCTTCTTCTTTTCTTCTATAACATTGATCGATCAATACCTAATTCCTTTGAGAGAGAAATATCAAAACTCTCTCTGTTTCGTTGATGGTTACGCGGTTCTGTTTTGTCGATTGCTGGAAATTGTAGAAATCTCCTAAGCCTGTAGCGTCGCACTTCCAGGTTAGTTTCAGTACAGAACTTTGGATTCTAGCCGCTCATTGATTGATTTGATCGTTGATTGGTACAAGAAATTTGGATTTCGTGTTATTGTTAGGGTTGATTGCTAGATGTTGAACTCGTGATGTTCTTACGACGAAGAATGAATATCTGAAAAAACCCGACGGCCTGAAAAGCCAAAGGCAAGACTGGTGTCAATGAACAACGGCTCGTGTTGAGACTCCTCTCAACTTCCTCGCAACTTCCAGGTATCTTTTCTAAAATACTTAATAATTTTTACAAATTTATTGATAATAATTAATAATTTTATAAAATAATAATAATTTTTAACTAAAACCATATTAATTTCACTATTACTTTTAAAAACTTAGTTTAAGTGTTGAATGTTAAAAACGTAGAAAACTAACCGCGCCTAGGCATCCCGTCCTTAATTGGTCCGTAAGCTTTGGTGTTCGAAGTTCGGCAATATTTTCACGTAATATAGATTTAACACTTAAACTCGTTTATAAAATATAATTAAAATTTAAAACAAATTTAACATTTAAACTTTAAAAAAATATTCAATATAATTTTTAGCTAAAACCAAGTTAATTTCACTATTGTTGTGAAACTTATTGTTATCTCATTCCATTCCATGAATAATGATACATATATATAGGCATATAAACCTAGGGTTTTAGAGTACATAATGAATAACCCTGATGGGCTTATTGGGCCCGGTTATAAGTCCAATATGATGTATTATAACAACTATTACTTATTAACCAAATATAATTAAAATTTTAAACAAATTTAACAATTAAACTTTAAAAAAATAATCAATATAATTTTTAACTAAAACCATCTTAATTTCACTATTACTTGTTTTTAAAATATAATTAAAATTTAACACTTAAACTTTAAAAAAATAATCAAGATAATTTTTAACTAAACCATGTTAATTTCACTATTACTTGTTAACCAAATATAATTAAAATTTAAATTAAATTTAACACTTAAATTTTTAAAAAATAATCAATATAATTTTTAACTAAAACTATGTTAATTTCACTATTACTTGTTTTTAAAATATAAAACAAACTTAACACTTAAACTTTTAATTAACTAAAACCATGTTAATTTCACTATTACTTGTTTTTAAAATATAATTAAAATTTAAAACAAATTTAATACTTAAAATTTTAAAAAATAATCAATATAATTTTTAACTAAAACCATCTTAATTTCATTATTACTTGTTAACCAAATATAATTAAAATTTTAAACAAATTTAACAATTAAACTTTAAAAAATAATCAATATAATTTTTAACTAAAACCATGTGAATTTCACTATTACTTGTTAACCAAATATAATTAAATTTTTAAACCAATTTAACAATTAAACTTTATAAAAATAATCAAGATAATTTTTAACTAAAACAATGTTAATTTCATTATTACTTGTTAACCAAATATAATTAAAATTTAAATTAAATTTAACACTTAAATTTTTTAAAAAATAATCAATATAATTTTTAACTAAAACCATGTTAATTTCACTATTACTTGTTTTTAAAATTTAAAACAAATTTAACACTTAAACTTTCAAAAAATATTCAATATAATTTTTAACTAAAACCATGTTAATCTCACTATTACTTGTTAACCAAATATAATTTAAATTTTAAACCAATTTAACAATTAAAATTTAACCATGTTAATCTCACTATTACTTGTTTTTAAAATATAATTAAAATTTAAAACTAATTTAACACTTAAACTTTAAAAAAATATTCAATATAATTTTTAACTAAAACCATGTTAATTTCACTATTACATGTTAACCAAATATAATTAAAATTTTAAACCAATTTAACAATTAAACTTTAGGGGTTTTTGCAAAAATACCCCTTTTTCAATGTCACTTTTCAAAAATGCCCCTTCTTTAAAACCTTATAAAAAATGCTCTTAAAAATATAAGATTTACCCAAATATGTATGTAACATTATTAAAACATACACAAACTACAATTCTATATATCTAAAATCTTATAAATACTTTATAAATACCTTATAAATGCATTTTAAATACATTTAAAAACCTTTAAAATATCTTGTAAAACCTTTGAAAAACTTTAAAAATCCTTTAAAATAACTTGTAAAACCTTTAAAAACACCTTATTAAACTATATAAATATTTGGATCCAGTCTTCAAGTAGTAGTTACAATCCATAAGTACCTTATAAACCTAATAAAACTTTATAAAAATTTCAGATTTAAAAAAGGGCATTTTTGAAAATGGACATCTAAAAGGGGCATTTTTGAAAAGGGGCACACCAAAAGGGGCATTTTTAACAATTTCCCTAAACTGTAACCATGTTAATCTCACTATTACTTGTTTTTAAAATATAATTAAAATTTAAAACTAATTTAACACTTAAACTTTTAAAAAATAATCAAGATAGTTTTTAACTAAAACCATGTTAATTTCACTATTACTTGTTAACCAAATATAATTAAAATTTTAAACAAATTTAACAATTAAACTTTATAAAAATAATCAAGATAATTTTTAACTAAAACAATGTTAATTTCACTATTACTTGTTAACCAAATATAATTAAAATTTAAATTAAATTTAACACTTAAATTTTTAAAAAATAATCAATATAATTTTTAACTAAAACCATGTTAATTTTACTATTATTTGTTTTTAAAATATAATTAAAATTTAAAACAAATTTAACACTTAAACTTTAAAAAAATATTCAATATAATTTTTAACTAAAACCATGTTAATTTCACTATTACTTGTTAACCAAATATAATTTAAATTTTAAACCAATTTAACAATTAAAATTTAACCATGTTAATCTCACTATTACTTGTTTTTAAAATATAATTAAAATTTAAAACTAATTTAACACTTAAACTTTAAAACAATAATCAAGATAGTTTTTAACTAAAACCATGTTAATTTCACTATTACTTGTTAACCAAATATAATTAAAATTATAAACAAATTTCACAATTAAACTTTATAAAAATAATCAAGATAATTTTTAACTAAAACAATGTTAATTTCACTATTACTTGTTTTTAAAATATAATTAAAATTTAAAACAAATTTAACACTTAAACTTAAAAAAATAATCAAGATAATTTTTAATTTAAAGGGAGACTCATAAAAATGCCCCTTTTTCAATACCCCTTTTCAAAAATGCCCCCTTTGGATGTCCATTTTTAAAAATACCCCTTTTATATACAAAATGACTAAATTACTCTTCTTTTAATAAAAGATATCATAAATATATAAGGAAATATAACAAAATTAGGTCCACAAAATACAAAATATTTTTTGGCAGGAAAAGTGATCCCCCAATTTTTCCCGCCAAAACACTTGTAAAAATTTGTAAAACCTTTAAAATACCTTGTAAATTTCTCCCGCCAAAAATTTAACGCCAAAAAAATTGCGGAATCACTTTTCCCGCAAAAAAAAATTTTGGCGGGAAATTTTTTTGGCGGGAAAAAATTTTACGGGAAAATTTTACAAGGTATTTTAAAGGTTTTACAAGTTTTTACAAGTATTTTGGCGGGAAAAATTGCGGGATCACTTTTCCCGCCAAAAATATTTTGTATTTTGTGGACCTAATTTTGTTATATTTCCTTTTATATTTTTGATATCTTTTATTAAAAGAAAGGTAATTTAGTCATTATGTACATAAAAAGAGGTATTTTTAAAAATGGACAGCCAAAGATGGCTTTTTTGAAAAGGTGTATTGAAAAAGGGGCATTTTTGTGAGTCTCCCTTATAAATACCTTATAAATGCATTTTAAATACCTTTAAAAACCTTTAAAATATCTTGTAAAACCTTTGAAAAACCTTAAAAATCCTTTAAAATAATTTGTAAAACCTTTAAAAACACCTTATAAAACCTTATAAATACTTGGATCGAGTCTTCAAGTAGTAGTTACAACCCATAAGTACCTTATAAACCTAATAAAACTTTATAAAAATTTCAGATTTAAAAGGGGCATTTTTGAAAATGGACATCTAAAAGGGGCATTTTTGAAAAGGGGCATTTTTGAAAAGGGGCACACCAAAAAGGGTATTTTTAACAATTTCCCTAATTTTTAACTAAAACCATGTTAATTTCACCATTACTTTGTTAACCAAATATAATTCCAATTTAAAATAAATTTAACACTTCAACTTTAAAAAAATAATCCATATAATTTTTAACTAAAACCAGATTAATTTAACTATTACTTGTTTTTAAAATATAAGTAAAATTTAAAACAAATTTAACACTTAAACTTTAAAAAAATAATCAAGATAGTTTTTAACTAAAACCATGTTAATTTCACTATTACTTGTTAACCAAATATAATTAAAATTTAAAAGAAATTTAACACTTAAACTTTAAAAAAATAATCAATATAATTTTTAACTAAAACCATGTTAATTTTACTATCACTTGTTTTTAAAATATAATTAAAATTTAAAACAAATTTAACACTTAAACTTTTAAAAAATAATCATAATTTTTAACTAAAACCATGTTAATTTCACTATTACTTGTTTTTTAAATATAATTAAAATTTTAAAAAAATTTAACACTTAAACTTTAAAAAAATAATCAATCTAATTTTTAACTAAAACCATGTTAATTTTACTATTACTTGTTAACCAAATATAATTAAAATTTAAAACAAATTTAACACTTAAACTTTAAAAAATAATCAATTGACTAAAACAATGTTAATTTCACTATTACTTGTCTTTAAAATATAATTAAAATTTAAAACAAATTTAACACTTAAACTTTAAAAAATAATCAACATAATTTTTAACTAAAACCATGTTAATTTCACTATTACTTGTTTTTAAAATGTAATTAAAATTTAAAACAAATTTAACACTTAAACTTTAAAAAAATAATGAAGATAATTTTTAACTAAAACCATGTTAATTTCACTATTACTTGTTAACCAAATATAATTAAATTTTAAAACAAATTTAACACTTAAACTTAAAAAAAAAACAAATTTAACACTTAAACTTTTAAAAAATAATCAATATAATATTTAACTAAAACCATGTTAATTTCACTGTTACTTTTAAAAACTTAGTTTAAGTGTTAAATTTTAAAAACGTCAAAAACGAACCGCGTCTAGGCATCTCGTCCTTAATTGGTCTGTAAGCAGTTCGACAATGTTTTCACGTAATATAGAGTTAACACTTAAACTCGTTTTTAAAATATAACTAAAATTTAAAACAAATTTAAAACTTAAACTTTTAAAAAATAATCAATATAATTTTTAACTAAAATCATGTTAATTTCACTATTACTTTTTAAAACTTAATTAGTTTAAGTGTTAAATTTTGAAAACGTCTAAAACTAACCGCGCCTAGGCATCCCGTCCCTAATTGGTCTGTAAGCTTTGGTGTTAATGTTTTCACGTAATATAGATTTAACACTTAAACTCGTTTTTAAAATATAATTAAAATTTAAAACAAATTTAACACTTAAATTTTAAAAAATGATCAATATAATTTTTAACTAAAACCATGTTCATTATTACTTTTAAAACTTAGTGTAAGTGTTGAATTTTAAAAACGTCGAAAACTAATCGCGCCTAGGCATCCCGTCCTTAATTGGTCCGTAAGCTTTGCTGTTCGAAATTCGGCAATGTTTTCTCGTAATATAGATTTAACACTTAAACTCCTTTTTAAAAAATAATTAAAATTTAAAACAAATTTAACACTCAAATATTATACTCCCTCTGTCCCATTTTATAAGATGTTTTGTATAAAAGCACAAAGATTAAGACTGCAGAATTCAGCCAATAGAAAAAAAAAGACTGCAGAATTTATAATGCTCATAACATAAAATAAACATAAATTATGCATAGAAATCTGGGAAAATCTTATAAAATGGAATAAGAAAAAAATACTAAAACATCCTATAATTTGGGACAGAAGGAGTAGCTAATTAAACCGATTGAGAGTTAAAATATTGTTTTTAAAGTCCTTTATATTTTAAAATTTTAAAATAATTATCTTATATATAAACTAGATTTATTTAAATTTTACCAAAAATTACTCAATTATTACATTAAATTATTAAAATTTGATTTATACTTTTATGATTGGATTAATAATTGTCTTATATATACATTATAAAGTTAAATCAAAAAAATATTAACTATATTTTTAAGACTTCTATATGTATCCCGAAAATTATTTTTTCACCAATCAAATATTATTTTGTACCACTTATTCTACAAAAACTGCACTTATCCCGCAAATATATTTTTCCCGCTTGTACCGCTATTGGACCGTACCACACTAAAAAGCTGTTTTTTCTACATAGCCAAGTACGCTGTCACCATTCGGACCCTAAAATTAAGGAATGGAAAAGAAGATTTGAGGCAACTGACTTTACTTGGACCCAACGAAGAGAAAATCAGCTTATAGACTTTCTAGCTAAAAATCAAAGATATTTATTATCTGAATTTATTTATTTTTTTCCATTTATTTATCATAACTTTGTTCCTATTTGTATATCTGATGCTTTTTTCACTACCTATATTCCCTGTTCAAAAAATCGGGCGCCTAGCCGCCTAGGCGGCCACCTAGTCGGTGATCGGCAGTCAACCGCCGCGATTTTAATCAAATTGGACTATTTAATCGGTAAACCGATTTTGCAGCCGTTTAATAATTAAACGTTGAAAATTGGTTAAAAGTCACCGATTTATTATAAAATTTTATACTGAATTTTGACCAAAACTCAAAAATTGATTGGGCCTACATAAGCCCACACGAGCTATACTATGACAAATAGAAACAATTAGTAGGGTCATTTATAAGAAGTCGATTCCATGCTTCCTTCCTACTATTACCGATGTGGGACTTTGTGATTTTGAGTTTTGTAGAGATACTACTTTCACATAACGTGGCAACTGGCAAGTGATATCAATTCAGTAGTCAAATTAATAATTTGAATATATTTAAGTTCTTTATTTTTTTTTCCACCAAAATCTATTTATTGGTGGTCACTATATTTAGGTTCATATATTTTTTTTTAACGTGGATGTCATTTAGTTATTATTAGTGACCGTTCAAATCTGATACTTTATTCTTTTTCGTCCATATATTTAAGTTTCAAATAAGTTTTTTTAAACTAACAAACTGTTTTCATATTAATAATAGATGATATTAGTCAAATGTACATATATTATATTTGATACATATATGTATTTTGAATATATATAATTAGGATGAATGTCAATTTGATGTGAAATTAAATTCGCAAAATTGATGATAGATGTTTTAAACTTTTTTCATGGTTTTTGTTTTATAAATTTTGCAAACATGTTATCAATTGCCTATTTGTATAATAAATTCATAACACTATAAAATTATTATAAAAATAACACTATATAATGATAAAAAACTAATCCCCAATTAATCTTCGATTAATCTCCGATTTTCCGTCTAGGCATTAGGCGGTGTCCGGCCGCCCGACTAGCGCTTAGCGATTTTTTGAACATGGCCTATATTATTGGTACAGTACTTTAATGAAGATGAAGTTTTGAGTAAAAAATAAATAAATAAATAAAAAATTAATATTTGTTTTATGCGGTGCGGAATTTAAGATGGACCGCTGGATAATTGATAGTTAGAAAAATTTTTGCGGTCCATTGGTTAATACATTGGCCTTGAATGGAAGGCAGAAAAAAGACAGATCATACACTAGTGTAGGGTCGCACACTTTTCTACTTCCATTCACAAACAAAATATATAGAAAGCGGTACAAAACTAAAATATTATTAAAAAAAAAAGATTGAACCACTAGCATACCAAAATAAAGAAGAAAAGCTGTGATCTGCTAGTAACAGTAGGAACGCATCATATCTCATGTGTTTAGGATGTTTCAAGTGCGTTTCTTATTTTTATTTTTATTTTTAACTAGATTTTTTATAAAATAATAATATATGTATTAGTTATTTGATTAATACATATTTTCTTCAAAATATTGTTTGTCACTCAAAATTTTAAAAATTTTACTTAACCAAAGTTTACATGATAACGTAATGATATAAATCAAATACTCGATAATTTTTTTTTTATTTAAAACTATTTTCTGTTTAATGTTTTACATGTATAATAATAAATATATTTAATGTATTTACAGATTATAATCAAGAATATGTTAAACCAATATTACAAATATATTTTAATATATTTATTTTTAGTATGTATAGTTTCTGTAAAATATTTTATTTAAAATTATGTTTTTAACAATATAAATATTTCATCTGCACCGTTTTATCTGTTTTCACCATTCAAAACATATTTAAAGCGTTCGAACCGCTTGATCCGCATTTGTACCGCCAGATCTGCTTGATTCGCTTTTGTTCTACTTAATTCGCTTGATCCGCTCCGCCCGATACACTTTCTCTATTCAGAGCCATTGACTTAAAAAACGCAACAGTTTTTTTCATTTCGTATGTAACTGCGTTTTGCGGTGCGGGAGAAGTGCGGTATTACATTGCGGTACGGTTCAACTGCGGGACGTGCGGGAAAAATATATTTGCGGGACAAGTGCGATTTGTATAAAATAAGCGGTACGCAAATTGCATAAAAATTATGTGATTGAAACGTTTTACTCTTGAATACCGCACTCTTATTATGTGTCACACTATCTTCGAATGAATCAGCGCCATGTTTGGATCATCCTCTTATTGTCAGCCCATTATAACAGGCCTTGGATGGGCTTTCTGAACCCAATATAAAATATAACATTCTCTTATAGAGTTATATATAGTACTTGAAAAGCTTTTTTGGTCACTTTCTTTTGTTGTAACGTTTTTGATCCAATGTTTGAAAAAAAAATCTGACATAACAACAATATCGTTTCATTGTGCAAGAAGAGAAATTTGTGCATATAAAATATCAAGGGTTTTTAAGTACTTCGATCCAACCTTTAATTTGTAAATTGTCAAGATGAATATTAAAACTCCCTAAAAGGCTAACTATCAAAAGATTATTCATGTTTACGAAAAAAATATTTATAACCAAAATACTTACGATTTTCCAGAAGATACACATGACATAACAATCAATCACACACAATCGTTTAGTTATAATTATACACGACACAAATTTAGAAATAATTATCTGAACAATCGTTGGTTGGTCTCTCTACATACTAGGGTAATGAAGATACATTCAAACATATAGAATGTTCTATAACAACACAAACAACATGTATGAGTTATACATAGGAACACATGTACATTCTAAGACATTATCACACATCATGAATCAACGTATATAGATATATATAGAACCACATGCACAGCAACATCAAACAAATTCAGTCAAGTTCTTATGAAACATATACATACGTACATACCTTAAGATTGATAAGAAATGTCTGGAAACATGGAGCCATCAAATAGATGATGATCAGGCCAATCTACAGAGTCTGTGACTGCTACTTCTTGATCATGGCTTGAGGAGGCCTGGTTGCCGCTGAAACCATCTACACTCTGAGCACAAGGATCATGAGTAGGCAACATAGTTTGGTTCAAGCTCGGTGGTTCATGGAGCCATATTGGAGAAGTGTTTTGACTGAAGTGGTTTTCTTCTAGGGTTTTGAGGGAAGGGAGGTTGTTGTTGATGTCTTGAAGATGAGAAGTGAGGAAACCGAGGTCGAGAGTATTGGTATTGGAGTTTTCTTTGATGAGGAGATTGAGAATGTTTAAGTCATTAGGGTTAATATTGCTACTACTCATTGGAGGAGGAGGAGGAGATTGAAGAAGGTAATGGAACAACTGGAGCTTAGCCATCTCAGTTTGGAGATTCATTCGAGCATGATCTTCAATTGGAAACTGTTGCTGCAGATCAACAAGTCCTCTTAGGTTAGACAGAGACATGAGCTGAGATAAGCTTGAGAAGATATCATCGGTTCTTGGCTGATGAGTCATGGGGTCAAAACCCATCTGAATCAGCTTTTTCTTCAAATGAGTGTTCCAGAAATTCTTGATCTCGTTGTCAGTTCTTCCAGGTAAGTGGCTTGCAATCATTGACCACCTTATAAAATCATTACCAGTAACATTTTGAATGAGCTACGTAACAAAAAAAAAAACCCCAGATAATATCAAGAATCAGATGGGTTTTTTACTTGTTGCCAAGAACCGCATGAAGGTTCAGGATGGTCTCTTCTTCTTCAGCTGAGAATTTTCCTCGCTTAATGTCCGGTCTCAAATAGTTTGTCCATCGTAGCCTGCAACTCTTCCCACACCTGTTAAGACCTGCATATAGAGAAACAGATAGAGATATTCATAAGACCAAGACTTTAGACTCATATATCACAAACAAAACTAGGTTTCATCAACGTCTTCAAGATAGTAGTACCAGCGAGCTTGGGAAGGGCACTCCAGCTGCTATGTCCATGTTTGTGGATATAATTGATGAGTTTATCATCTTCTTCAGGCAACCATGGACCTTTCTTCAGACCGGTTTCGTCTGAGCTAGGAGATCTTCCCATGTTTGATCAACTTCTGTATCTAACAACGGTCTCTCTTCTTGTTTTTACCTTCTCTTTACTATTGCTTCTTCAAAGATTTGGTCGCTTGCCTCCTTTCTTCACAACCACTAACTGCTTCTTATTTCTATATTTATATTAACTCGAGCTTCCCTCTCTATTCAATGTCCATTCACCACGTGCTTCTTTCTTATTCGCATACCAAAACAACCCATGTCGCTTTCACCCTGCAAATTCCATTTTTCTCTTCTTTATTCTCTCTCACATACGTACGGTATAACCACTTACAGTCCTAAGCAATACGACCAATCTTCTTCTCGGAAACAGTTCTAGATGTCGAGATCCTTAGTACTAAATCCTGTGGTTCAGGGACTAATGTCGCTAGAGACCTGCAAACATAATAATATGATCAGTACAGTCCCATTGCCTGCTAGAGAAAAGATTCCAAAGTTTCTACAGAAAGGTTTAGGTGGGGGAGAAGAAGAAGGTCAGTATAGGACTTCGACAAGAAAGCTATATAAACTATTCAAATAATTTCTTAATCATTCGCTGACAAAACATAGCAGAGAAATGATTTTTAATCGCACCAAACAACAGATGTCACCACAAGGATGGCCAGAGAGATCATCTCCTTGTGTCATTCATTTCTTGACTCTATATGTATTTGGTATTCTCTAATATATATTAAAAACAAAGAATATTATATATTTGTATTTACTTTGTATCAAGCCATGAGCCCTAAGAGTTTTAAGATACTAGAAAGCATCAGAAAGAAGCAGAATTGATCTAATAAGGAAACTATAAGTCTTCAAGTCTTGTTCAACACATTTCTTTTGATCTTGAGGAAGTCCTGATATAGCAAATTTAGGTAATACTTACTGAGATTTCCTACTCAAAAATGCTTTTTCTGGTGAGAAAAAGATGCTATATTAAGAAACCTGCAACAGAGAACATTATCAGGATACGTGAGAACTAATCCAGTTGTGTTTTGTATCCATTTAGTGATCAAAATATATGAGACTTATATATACTCCTGTCCTACTACAGATCAAACATTCCTTGATAAGCACATAACTATACGGTTCAACGAAAACAAAAATTACGGAAAATGCATAGACAGCAACAGGTGACAGACAAATATGAAGGACAAAGTAGCAATGTAAAAGTATTGGTATTATGAGAAGAAAAGTTACTATTCATACTGGTGACAGACTTGATGTTGACATTTTGTTGAAAATTGGAAGGAGCTTGTTAGGGGAGAGGTTGGTGCAGAAAATGATCTAAATATCCACCATCTTTGAAACCTACAAGACTTTCTCTCCACTGCCTCTGCATTGGACCAAATGGCATGTCTTGTCTTTTTCTTCTGTGTCTTTTCCATAAAGTAGATCATAGGGTTTCCTGCAATTGTTCCAAATGAAAGACAACTGGTCCTCAAGAAACAAATTTTAAGATACATAGAAATTGGAAAAGGAAACGTTTTCACTGCATCTACAAACTAAATACGTATTCCCAAGAGGCTTTTCAATGCACAAGGTATTAGATAATAACTTTCATGAGTTTCCATAGTGTATCAACAGATAATTTTCCTATAGGTAACAGATTCTCGAAAAATACTAATATTTTTCGCGTAGTTGACTGCGAGAAATTTCTGGAAAAAGAGAGAGATTTGAGTTGCTTGTTCATCTAGGGTTTCTCAGAGTGGACCACAATCTCACTGGAGGAAGCAGGTACAGTATATATATTAAAGAAATAAGGAAGGCACTAGGTTCATACTATACGCTATGTCACTTAAACCGTTCTTTTCCTCTAATATAAAAAAACAATGGTTGTGAATGTCAGCTAAACAAATTGTTTTGCTTCTTCTCCTCAGTTCCTAACCAACACATCTAAACTCTGACTTTCAAAGCCACATTTGAAGAAACTAACTTTTTACCTCTTCCCAATTCTCTGCAAATGTGAAGGGTATGCATCAATCTCAGGACTATATTAGTCAGATACACATACACAATGTATATCCAATGAGTAATTTTCTACCCAATTGTCCATTTCTTGAAATCTAGGAGGTCACTATCAAACTTTGTGTATGACAGTGATTATGTATTAAACTGTTGGTACTTACACAATTGACAGAATTCCAAGATGCTTAGCAGGATCCTGAAAGAGATTGCAACCAGTGAAAAAAACAAAATGAGACACATGCACACATATAATATTAAACAAGTTCATCAGTATATTCAAACAACAAACAAGTTAAACTTCTTTTTTCCATCTGTTCACATGGAAGCAACCTTGTTGGAAAACAGGAGATTCTGTTTGGAAATTTCGTTCATAGAGTAATCTAATAATGGTTGAGTATTTCAAGATTTAACTATTGCTCTAGAGACTGACTTTCTTTGTTTATATAAAAAGTATCTGTTATTAATATCAATGAGCTCACCGTTCAAAATCTTCTAGCAATACACTTAAGTCAAACGTTACATACAATAAAGACACATATTCACAAGGAACCTGACGAACATGGGACAGAGAAAACAGCAAGAATAAGAAGAAGAACGTATTTAAATTTTATAAAAAAAAAAAAAAAAAAGTCATTCTATAGTATTATATGAACCAAATTGTGTGGGCCTTAAGCGTTGTTTTCTTAGGCATCAACCACTACATGTTAGTTTAGGTGGCTAAATTCGTTCATTGATGACACCAATTTTACAGCTACATGACAGTGAAAGATAGAGAGGGAGACAATGACATTGCTATCTTAATTAGAGCTCCACACAGAATCAATTTAGATGCATCAGTGGTATCTACCATTTCATAGTTACCTATGATGCAAAATTGGAGTGAAGAAATGCATCAGAAATAATATTTTCATTATTCAAGAAAAGATGTGTATAAATCAATCACCTGAGTTACTCAGACTTTAAAAAGTGCCTGTGATCAAATTTGTTCTGCTACTATCATATGAGGAGATTGATGTATGATTCCTGCAACAAGTCCTAAGATAGACAATATTGAAGATTAGTAGAACAAAATTTAGAAGAAGCAACACAGAACAATGTACAACATTATATCTATCGAACCAGAGTTACCATTAATGGCTCTACCATAACTAATTAGCTAACTGGACCGTGTCACATATCACCTATGGATATCTTCATACTGAAACTGATGAGAATGATCTATTCCACATGCAAGTGAATAAAACTGTATTTCACAAAACTAAGTATTTCTAGGCTAAGAGGCATATATAAACGGCCACTGAGATATGCTGAATCAAAACTTTATTAACTTAATAATCCTCCCATGGTATGAACTCAAACAATCTGTATTGACCTCACTCCAATGCTAGGAACTAAGATATGATGCTACAGAAAAAAACATGTATAGAAGTGTTGTTCCTTTGCATTATCTAACCTGAGGTTCTTAGAACCAATCCATAAAGCCGAAAAAGGACGTCTCCATAGAAGATCCAAGAAGCTGAAAAGGTAAAAACCAACCAAAATAGTCATTATATTCAATCCAATTTAGAATGATACAATCATGCAAGTAGTGCTTATATATCAACACATTGGTCTAACTTTGAAATAAGATTATGAACACTAAGCAAAAGAGTCCTATTACCTTTCTTACTAGAGGCTTTCTAAAGGACTTGGACAATCCACCTTAAACACATTGGTCTAACCCAAGCAAACAGCATTTGTATATTGATAGCACTAGTTAGTCGAAATGCTCAACTATCTATATGTTTATTAAGCTTAAGAGATTTGTATATATGTCTATGCATCACCATCCAGAAAAAATGAGACAAAGTTAGTAGAAGCTAGAAAACAAAGTTAAAAGAAAAGGACCATTTAAGTTGACAAGCTAAAACAAGTCTAAAAAGTTGAGTTTTCATTAATCAAGAGGAGAATATATATATATATATATATATATAAAAAGCTTGAAAATATGTTAGAACTGTTTTACCAATATATTTGAAGCAATCACAATTGCTTCATGAAATGAAACAAAGGCTGAAACTAGTGAGTAGTGATAGTGAATGAACAAAAAAAAATGGGCAGAGGCATCAACAAACCTCGGAAGTTAAGAGAGTCGGTCTTGTTCATCTTTACCTTCAGAGGCATCAAGAAGAAGACAATAAGAAAATCCAAAAGACCTGCAGCTTTTGAGGAAATAGTAGTTGAAGTGAAACAGGCTAAAGGGTTTGGACTTGTCACGAAAGGATAAGACCAAGACAAACATGGAGGAAGCTTTTTGCATGAAAAGCAAGTCACATGTTGTGATCCAGAGATCTTTGCATGAAAAATATACGTAAGACGCTTACATAATAAAATAATCTTGTCAAAAGCATCATAGAAAGCTGTGCAAAGCTTTAAAACACATGGCTAGAGTTGGTAAATGGTAAGACAGGTCTTGAGAAAAATAGTTCCAATAAAAAAAAATACAAAGCTAGTCATATGCAAACCTCATAAATCACCTTTAGATATGCATTTTTGTCTTAAATCTCTTGTACTTAACATTCAGGACAGCGCGTATCTTACAGAGTTTCAACATTGGACCCTGAGGGAGTATTTCTCACAAAATTTAAGCTGAAAAGTTGACAACTCGGTCAGTTTGAAATGCGGATAAGCATCTCTAAGTGTGAACTAATGGGTGTGAACAGCACAATGCAGCTGTAAAACTCAACTTGGGATGAATATGAAAATAAAATTATAAAATACTAAAAAATGTACAATTTTGACCATTGGTCATATTAAAATAATTGTGGGCAGATAGATGTTTTCAAATGATCTTTTGACTTAACCCTTGGATGTGAGGTATTAGGTGAATCATCATGGTCTAGATCACTGCTATGTCAACAGTTTTGTTATTCCACTAAAATGGTAATGACAAATCAGAAGAACATATGAGAATCTACAACGGCTAGTTAACAAAAGCATCTCACATCAAGACATCTAAAACTAATAACCTAGCATCTTGCAATCTTGGCTATACGAAAATGACTAGATACCTGTAAAAACTCATACTGCTCTCGGCCCTCGTCCTCCATAGCATACTCTTACTGCTTGAAACTAAGCTAGTTGAGAGACACATCTGTTCTAGCAAAATACGTACGGATAGTTATACACAAATTTGTACCTATATATAAAGAAAGTACCTATATATGGATTAACTCTCACTGAAATACCAAAGTATGGGAGAGATGGAAGAACAACTTCACCGCCAGTCATCCTCACAAAAGAGTAGCTTGGAAGAAGAGCTCCACCGCCAGTGATTATGTGAATGAGATCGAATCGAATCTGAAATTAAGTATTCTCAATAGGAAGTGGATTGGATGACATAACATATTTACCTGTAGTAGCAATATAAACGTACGTTTATATCAGTCGCATTCAAACTTCTAAGAAAAGAACACAGAGAAGAAATTACTAATTTGAGATTATTTTTATCAGTAGTTCGTACTTCTTAAAAGAAGACTTCAATACCACTGAGTCAGAAAAATTATTAGCCAGATCTTCAATATATACTAATAAGAAAGAAAAGGACAAATAACAGTAAACAAAAAACCAAACCCATTATTGACTAATCCAAAAACTAACAAGACTACACGATGAAGTCTCTATGAGACTATATATTTACCAAGATGAGATTTTTCTACTACTTCCACGGATTTAATTTTGACTGTGAATTTCCTTCAAAGACAGATCATTTTACCTCCTACATACAGCCGGAATTTACCACCGAAGACGGAAGACCTTATCTATGCCCCCACAAAAGACAGAGACTTTTAACGCTTTCTATTTCTAAGCCACCAATAAATTCCTAATTTTCCCGCCATTTTTTTGGATTTTACCTTTTTTTTTCTTTTTTTTTTAATTCTTATTTTATGTTTTTCAAAGGAGTACTAGTTTCTTCGTCAGATTGGATAATAATTCTGATGAAACATTAAGCAAAAGGATATTAATCTTTAAGGGATTCATGTAAACTACTTAATAAGGAAAGTGTTTACACCAAAAGAAGAACAAATACAGGATGGTTCAGCAACAAAAGAACAGAGAATAAAACATCTCGAGGAAACAACAAGATCAATGGCCGTTTTTTCAAGCAGATTTCGCAGCTTCAGCTGCTTCTTCTGCAGCTTCTTCTTCTTGAAGCTTCTTTAGAGAAGGAGGTGGTCTCGGTACAATGCTTTTCTTCCATTGTCGGTCAAGTTTCCTCGACAACCTTTTCTTTATCCCTTCTTTGATCTCCCTCTCTCTTTTAACCGTCAACATCCGAGCAACCTAAATCACCCACAACCAAAAGAACACATCTTTAGTACCAGAAATGAGAGACAGGTATAGGCCAAAAACCAAGCAATTTCGACTTGAACTTAGTTTCATCTAAAGTTAATTTGGTGCATTAGCCACTTAGAGCTCAAGATTCGTGTCTACTTGAAATCCCAGCAATCAGTAAACCAAAGCAAGTGATTTTCATCTAAAATACTATACAAACGATATCGCAAAGCTCAACATTCATGTCTAACTGAAACCACGTTATGATAAGAACATATAAGAAGCTGTGTGCAAGAATCTATAAAAGGGGATGGATTGACCTCAATGTCAAATCTCTAATTCCATTCCACCTCCAACCAAAAACAGTATTAGGTATCACAAAACAGTAACATAGCAATGTTGTCATTGTTATACTTTAGAATTAACTATAATCTGTAGAACAACAACACTAACATTGCTTATAGAGTTTGTTAACATCTTCTAAAACTTCACATTAGATAATCTTAGTTTCCATGGTGATGATTTCATTTTTCCATCAAGAAACCACAAATCCCAATTTTGTTAACCTTTTCAAAGACTCTTAGACTCTGCAAAACCAATTCTATGTACACAATCAAAATCGAGCAATTTCAACTAATTTGTGTATAAAAGAGGAAAATTTTAACAAACGAACCCAAAAGAAGAAGAAAAAAGCTTACTTGTTTCTTCATACGACGAAAGTCGCTAGATTTGAACTCATTCCTTGCCGATTTCTGGAGACGAAGCATAAAGAGCTCTCCTTTAAGGTCAACAACCTCCTCTTGTAACTGCTCCGTCGTCTTCGATCTTATCTCTTTCAATTCCGCCTCTCTTTTCGACATCATCACCACCGATGGTTTACGAGACGACGAAATCGTCGCCGCCGCGGGGACGCGAGCTGAAACCTGTGGCTGGATTCTGACACCATGGAAAGAAGACGAAGTTGAAGTCGCGGAATCTGTTCCTCGACGGAAAATCGCCGCCGTCCCCGGCGTAGCAATTGAGAGACTAAGCATTATGGCTATGGCGGAAGAAGAAGAGAAGAGAAAGACTTCACTCTCGAGAGCGATTTTGAGGATAATGAAGAGAAACTCTAGAGATAAGGCTTTTCTTATATCTTTCTATTTGCCCCTATATTTACCTTTAATTACGAAAATGGCCCGAAAGTATCTAAAATTGCAAACGGGAGTCACACTTATGTACATTATCATAGGATAAATCCCCGATATTTATTTCAAATATTTAAAAATTTCCCTATAGTTTCTACATTGCAAATAGCTCGAAACACACTTATGTACATTATCATAAGGGATTTGGAACCAAGTTTCTATATAATCTGAAATTGTTTACAAATCAAACTAAAACATCCGAAAAACTTCTCTCTTTTAAAAGAACAAATTTTTTGCACCCCCACCTTTTTCTGATATTTACAACTTATCAATACATGTTTTTCAAATTTTCTGATTCCGCCGCAGAGTAAAAATAATCATCAGCAGCAACCCCCAAATTTATTCAGAGTAGTCCTCTGTTTCCAGACGCACTCATTCTTCATTTTTGAGGTCTTCCCATTTTCTTGATTTGGTTGTTTCAAAAATCTACGTTGGTTCGCGATGTCGAGTCGCCCAACTTGAGCTCAAGGCTCTAAGCCGTTGAAAATACTCACCAAGAGCTAATAATCCTCGAGCCGCTTGTCGTGTGGTCAAGATCCGATACATTTGTTGCAATGTTTCATGTCTCAAGTGATCAGCCTAAGAAATGAACAAACAAACAAAATCAAGAAACTAATACTATAGTGTCTTGAAATGTGTTTAATTAAAAAAAAAAAAGATTAAATATATATATACCTGATTAACAAAACTGACCAAAGCTTCTAATCTCTCCATTGCAGAATTCACCTGAGGAATGTAACTTCCTTCACCGAGTTGTCCCGCTGCAACGCAGTCCGCAAGGGTGTGTTGCAGCTTCTCCATACCTTGAGTTAACGCGTCTTCTGCTTGCTGACACGATTGTTTTAGATTGCATACATCTAGAAGTTGTTGATCCGTCAAGATATCAAAATGTGGCAAAAGAACCTGCAAAAAACATTGAAACATTGTAATATTGTTTCTTTCTATTCAATAACATTATGCGATTGTTCTTTGTTTTACCTTGAGAAGATCCGAGGGTCGAAATCCGCCAATCCACAAGAAAAACCGCTCTGCTGAAGTTCTCCACATCCCTGACATGACGAAGAAGACATCGGCTTTTGCAGCAGACGATTTCATCCGGAAAAGCTCAAAGTAATGTTTCATGGCGTTTTCTACTAGCAAACGAAGCTCGATATCGTTAATGTGTCCGTGTAAAACCGTTCTCAGTTCGCATATCTGTCGGTTCTGTTCTTCAACCCAATGTCCATATTCCATTTCAAATGCAGCAATCCCTGCAAATCAGTATATGTTTCACCAATCAAAATCTTGATTTCTAAATCATGATTCTTGATTTAAACAAAAAAAAAGACTCATTGTCCTTGATGCAAAACCTGGATTCATGGTTTCCGAAAATCCGAGAGAATTAGTATCTATTCCGTTCCCCACATAGAATCCCTGAAAACATCAAATTTCAATCAGAAATCGTAATATATTTTGGAAATCGAAAGAGAGCGAATATAGATTTAGATTTCATTTCATTAACCTGTTGTCTAGCACGATCAAGTTCTTGCTCTAATTGAATTAGCTTCAACCGGCTTGTTTCCAGCTGCTGAACATAAGCCTACAAAAAAAGAAACACAATCAAATCTCCCAACTCATTAAGGAAACAGAAACAATTTACCAAGGGGAAGAAAATGTAGTCATACCTTCTTGCGCAAGCGACTTTTCCTAGCAGCCTCGCGGTTTTGAGCAAGCCGTCTCTGTATCTGTAACGATATAAAGATTCAGTCTATATGATCCGCAGAAATTTATGATCAAGAAACTGATAGAGAAGCATTTGTGAATAGTTGACCTTATCGGGATGTCTAGACGTTGAAGCTTCTTGATCAAACATGTGAGGAGTTCCTGCTGTTCCATGGGAAGTTTCCTCTGACTAAAAAAAATGATTTTCAAGAAATGAAAGCTAGTTTATGTCTGAAAACAAACCAAGAAAGTTTATCATCAAGAGATTGAAGAACAATGAAGCAAAAAAAGTACCAAGTTGTTGTCTAGTTTCTGATTATTCGGTATAATAATGTGGTTTGGTGTGTTCATGTTCCCATTGCTAATATTGCTCTTGAAACTTTCCCCCCACATACCGAATTGATGGACAGGTTCGTATATACCAACTCTTCTCGGTGGCACAAAATGTGTCGATGTCGAATTCATGTTTTCCTCAACTGGAAATTAAGAAAATACAAAGTTTTAAAACAATGTATGAAAGCATCAAAAAATTCCAAAGAACAAAAGATGAGCATTAGGTTTCAACCAAAAGTTAGATCACACAAAGTCAAACAAACATAGCAAGCAAAGCAAATAGTAGAACTTGTGATGTTTCTTCTCCAAATTCTTTGAAGAAAACAGGACGGATAATCAAACCATCTTTAAAGTCCAGAGACTTTTTACAAAGAAATAAATTGGAGAGGGCATTGGAGATTCCCTATGACCTTGGAGAAGGAGATCACATATGTTGTACTGACAGGTTAAAAGAACATAAAAGATTTAACTTTAAGTCACTTTTTCATCACCCAAATCGTTAACACAAACTCTTCATCATCCGCCCACAAATCTAAAAACCTACAGCGAAAAAGAAAAAATAAAAACATATCCCTAATAGTGTTTGGAAGGTGTCAAATAGATAAGATGATAGAATTATTGTTAAGCAGACGAAAAGCGTCAAGTTTCCACTTATTAGGATGTGACTTTATTTCAGCACTAATGGTGGACCAACTTAGCATAGTTAGCAGTTAAACGACTCCCCAAAGAAATAGGAAATCTCCATTCATTGCTTTGTCAAATTCTTGTACGCAACTGGTAACGAAAGGTGAAATCAAGATAGTAAGAGATAACATCAAGAAAAGCAAAAGCCAATCATGAAGTCAATAGATAGATAGATTGAAAAATCTTCTTATGCAAGAATTATTCGAATCAGTTCCTTCCAGCTTAAATTCAAAGCAAACTTATTGAAGTAATGATCGGGTTTATACAAAAAAGTGGAAACAAAATTAACCAAAACAACCAAGAAGAGAAAAGTTTAAAGGCTTTTAAGATATTAACAAGATTAGATTAAAACAGAGCAAAGTCAAAGTAGTGATTTTGATTCATAAACGACGCAGGAGAATGAGAAATCTCAGACTTTCCAATCTTTTTTTTTCTGTTGGTCTCGCTTTCACAACTGAAATAACAAAAATCCCTGAATGATTAAGGATAAGAAGAGAGATCTGAAGCCGAACCTTGTGATGTCAAGTCAGTAACTTGAAGAAAGGGAAACTTTTGTCGTTAAAACCATGTAAAAGGAGAAAGAAGGAAAGAGCTTTCAACGACAAGATCAGACGTAAAGGTAAAGCCAAGAAGTTCGGAGTTCGAATCCGACCATAAACACAAGGGATTTTAAAAACTCTTCCTTCTGTCTTAGAAACTCAGGTCTCACCATCTTCAAGTAGAAGAAGGAAGAAGAATCACGACAACTTAAATGAGAGACCTTTGACGCAGTTATTTTTTATTAATATATATTTTAACCTTTTTTTTTCTCGGTGATTTTTGTCTTCAAGCATAACTCAGCTACAGTGAGTCAAAACTAATTATTACATTTTTCTATACTATTTTTCTTCCACTTTGAATTATTTATAAAAAAACACTGGACTAATTGCGGAATAAATACGTTTTTTCACATAAAACTTTTGTTTGATGGTGCCAAATACATTTTGTGAAAGGAAATTTGATTAGCAGCGAATTAATATGTATGATCCACTGATACCAATCGAATCTTAATATTTTTTAAAGATAATAATTTAAATATTTAAGTTAAAAACGTATTGCTAATTATTCGTTTTTGAAAATAAAAATTAATTGTCATGTCTCCACTACCTCGCACGCTGATGTGCGAACCAGGTAGATCCATTTTTTTATTCTCTTCTAAATTCTCTCTCTTTTATAACTTTTCCATTAATTTTCAATTTTCTATCTTGCGCATGTCTGCTCTCTAACCTGCGCATTCGTCGGCGATAACATAAAAATTCGTTTGACGGCAGGCGTAAATACACGCGCTCTAACGCCGGCATACTTCCGCGGGAAGGAGGAGCAACGGCAGGCTCTTAATTTTGTCTCTTAACTATTATTATGAATTGTTTTATTGAAAAAAATTATAGCTAAAAGTTTTTGTAATGGTTTGAATCTCTTAAACCTTCTTTTATCTCTTAGCTAAAGAACTCTTCTAAACTATTCACATATTATTTTGATTATATTATACCTAAGATTTATAGTAAAAGACTTGCAATAAGGATGAGCGGTTACAAATGAAAACTTTAGCGCGTGTTGACTATTCGCGGTGTAGCGAGTGGGAGTATAGAGAACAACAGAGTCTGCTTCGATTTTGGTGACGTAGTAACGGCTACTTCTAAATTAAGTAATCTACTAATCTGTAATCAATATTTCAATTTTTTCATTAACCTGTTATTTAAAAATATAAATGCAGACAAATTTTAAAATACTGAATTTTCCGATGTTTATCCAAATATCATAGCTGTCTCATTAAATATTTCCAGACTAGTTGACAAAAACCAAGCTTAGAAATTATTTATAAGAAACAAAACTATATATATAATTTTTTTTTAACAACTAGGCTAGTTTATTTGCTTGGAAATGAACTAGCTAGTATAATATATTAAATGCTGATATAATAATATTGGTTAAGCAAATAAGCGAGTAGCGACCGACCTGAATGAACAATTCAAACAAGCAACGTTTATTTATTCTAATATATTCATGAAGATATTGATCATTTGTTCATAGTGAACCGGATTTGTATTAATTAGTGGAATATAGTTAGTTCTATATATTCTTTTTTTTTTTTGTTAAAATAGTTCTATATATTCTTTCTTGTTTATAACAAAAATCATAAACGATGACAAAAAAAAAAAACAAAAAAAAAATCATAAACGAGCATAATTTAAAACAAATGATTAGACTTTGGAATTA